CAGTTAGTCACTTCTTTAATGTTTGTTCTTTCTGATGTAAAGTCAAGGTTGTAACTGTATATCAATAATGATATAATTACTTGTTTTCACAAATTTGAAGGAGGGCGAGCAAGCATCTTGATGAAACATTCATCATTAACTCCTCCAAAAAATATAGTTTATTCAATAATAAATGAATATGTGAATCATAACAGTCTTCACTATATCTGTAAAGCGTCTTTGAGCACCTGTAAAAACGCTAACAAATTAAATCTATTATTATTATTATTATTATTTATTAACAGTGATTGACAGCTGATAGGAATAATATGATTGTTAATAGTATCAATTCATTCCAGACAAACATCAATGAGACAGTTAATTAATGTACTTATTGCAGCAGTCTGCATAGATTGGTACCCCTGCTGTCTAAGAGTGAAACAACTTCATTCAGTTATTGTTCAAGTTAAAATTCATTAAATTACGTCGGCCACCTTATATGTAAGGCTTTACTGATGTGCCACAATAATATCACCTATGTGATTGAGTTAAAATATTAATATTGTGGCTTTCCAATTTAACATTGATTGTAGGGGTGTAACGGTTCACAAACATTTCGGTTCGGTACGTAGGCCTACCTCGGTTTTTAGGTCACGGTTCGGTTCGTTACGTTTTCGGTACAGCAGAAAAAATTATCACAAAACATTAAATATTGTTTTTAAATTATTATTAAACTGACTAATGTATTCAAATAAATACAAAATATAGTAAAATAAACATTAAGGTGCAGCATTTCGATGAACTGAAATAATCTGTATTTGAACTGTACTGTACCTAAGCAGCCGGCTTGACATTAGGACTTGCTTGTCATTGTATTTTCATGTTGTTTAAAGAAAGATGAACTTGTCCACATTGCTTGCTGAAATGGCAGATCTGCTGGCACTAACAATGCCTCCTGCTGTGGAGAACACCCTCTCTAGGGACAGAGGTAGCAGACACAGCCAGGTAGCGCTTTGCTAACATGGCAACATAAGGATACTTGGCGTTTGTAATAGCTTTGGCTCGGTTCCTGAACTCTCTGCGGAGTGGTGGAGGCTTAAATGCTAGTGGGAGTTGGGTTTGCACTTCAGTCTTTTTTCTTTTGGTGTACCGAACCGAAGGGCCCGTACCGAATAATTTCAGTACCGTTACACCCCTAATTGATTGATATGATTGCGATTTAAATCAGCATATACTTCTGTCAGGGGATGCCACCCCTCAAAATCTCCTGCCACCCTCTTGCCACCCCATGAATATTTGTCTAGATCCGCCCCTGGTTGTTAGAGAGGTACAGAGGAGAATATTACCAGCGAAAGTGAACAAGTGAATGAGGAGGACAGTCATCAACGAAGAAGTGACTCAGGAAAAAGGCATTTGCGCAAAGAATGGAGAGAAGGCTGTGACCGAGGTCAAAAGCTGAAAAAGCACACACTTGTCCTTAATTGTTATCTTTTTTTTTTTTTACTTTGCCACCACAGAAATGGCAATCAATCAGCATTAGCAGACTGAAGATTAGCTATTAGCCCTTAGTATAGACTAGTGCTGGGGGGAAACGATTATTTTGAAAACGATTAATCGGGCGATTATTTGATCGATTAGTCGACTAATCTAACGATTATTTTTCTGTTGTTCAATTCATAAAAAACGTAATGTAAAAAAAACGTAATGTAAAAACACATTTTTTCACGATACTGTGTCTCAGGGGATCTTAATATTTAAGAACCTATTAATGTGTTATACCAGATTAACGGAAATAATCTCAGCTAACTGACGATACAAACTATGTTTACCCAAACAAAACACAAGTCTCATAAGAAGCATCTAAATGACCCCTGAGCGAAAAATGCTAACGGACATTGGCACAGAACTCAAGATAAAAGTACCCTTATTACTTATCGTAGCTGCACATACAATATATCCGATTAAAGCTGAGACTCCACAGATTATGTAGGTATATAGTATCATCACTGAGTGATCCGGACTCGCGACAGGGGAAGCAAATACAGTCATCACAACACGTACCTTCACAGAGCTTCTAGGGAGATCGTCTCACCACCGTAGCTGTCAATCTGATCAAAAGACGTGTTCAATGGCATTACAATCGGTTAATCCATAGGTTTTTAACGTCTATGTATAAAAAAATGATTGAATTTATAATCCATAATTCCATTTTATGTAAAAATCGGAGAGCAAATGCTAGCTGCTAATGGTAGCCACCACAGCTAGCTGCTGCTTCTGCTAGGCTATGCAGCAGTCTCAGTGAGATATAAATATATAAATATCTTTGCGTTTTGGACTAACTTTAAAATATTCCCATGCTTTTGAAGACCTAGGGCGAGATGTTTTCGTTTGGGGGCTTCGTGCGCAATCCTGTGAGGAGGAGGTGGTAGCCGTTTCAGTCTCCATTGTGTTTGAAGTGCGATTGCGAACTGCTTGTTGCTTTGGGTGACCCACGTGTGTGTAGCGACGCGTCGACGCGGAAATATGTCGTCGACGATATTTTGAAGTCGCTACAGCACTAGTATAGACTCATCTGCTCCTGGAGGCTGTCATTATTATTGTGTAACTGAATTCCCGATAGGACATTCACACTTTGGTATTTGGTACATGTATGTACGGTTGTCATTTGTTGTGTGAGAATAAGTTATTATTATTGTTCTTTATATTCTCACTTGTGGTGTGTGAGTGAGTCAGTGATGAGTGTGTGTGAGAGAGAGAGAGAGAGAGAGAGAGAGAGAGAGAGAGAGAGAGAGAGAGAGAGAGAGAGAGAGAGAGAGAGAGAGAGAGAGAGAGAGAGAGAGAGAGAGAGAGAGACCTTTGTACATGTAGCTGTGGCTGACAATAGATAATGTTATTATGAATACATTTGCCTCAGAGTCCTGCATGAACTGTGCATAGACTGTATTTTAACATTGGTCATATGGTGGTACTTGGAGAGACATCTATTTTCTCAGGTGGTACTTGGTGAAAAAAGGTTGAGAACCACTGTTGTATAGGGACCGAGCCGCAGACTGAACATTTATTCTAAGAAAGAACATTATTCCTATCCCATTACGGCTTCATTATTATCCATCATCTTCCACTATTGACTGATGGAGGTGCATGAGTGGAGCTCAGCTCTCAGTTCAAAATGGAAAAAAAGTGGCAACTTCTCACACAGAAAAGCTTTCCCTTATTATTCATATCATGGTGTTTTCAGCAGGAGATGAAACTTCCTGTAATAACAGAAGATTCATTTTTCTTTTTGATCCTGCTCTGTTCTTGTTCCTGTCTTATTTTCTGAATTTCTTTGATCTCATATTGTTGAGGTCGTGTCATGTCTGTTCAGTATTCTTTTTTCTTATCTTTTTATCCCTGTACCCTTACGTCTTTGTGGAAACCAGTTTGTAAGAAATCCTCTGTTCAAAGGGAGCTCTGTAAATAAATGTGTTTTCAGTAAGAAGAATTCATAGAGAAAATCAGGAAGGGTGCTACCTGTTTACCGTTACGTATTGAGTAATGGCGCATTTCCACTGCAACGGGGTAGCCCCGTTTAAGCGTCCCTAAGCGTCCTCGCTCAGGCCTCGGGCTGCCTCGCTGACCGTCCGAGGCCGTGGCGCATTTCCATTACAGTTTAGGACCTGGGGTAGCAACGCAGTGTAGGCGGGGCGATCGGCTTCACATTTCGAGTTGTTCCGTCGAGCTCCCGCTGGATTTGATCATCCCCAATGAGATGTAGGAACGTCGTCACCTCCTCGGTCGACCACGGTGTGCTTTTCTTATTAGACGTAGCCATTTTTGTAGCTCCTCCGTTTACAAAATGCTGTTTATAAAAATGCTGCAAGCTTGCTTCTAAATATATATGCGACGCTAGGGATGAACTCGCGCGCGATCTTGTGACGATTCTCTCTGACCAATCAGCAGTCGAGAGTGTTGTCGTCACTAGTTCAGCCCTGGCCCTGGTCTGATAGAACCACGATTTTATGGGGCCGGAAAAAGAGGGAAAAAGTACCCACTAGCCGGTACTAGGCTATATGGAAAGGCCACCAAAAACTGGCCTGGCCGCTTGAGGACGGTTAAGGACGCTTAAACGGGGCTACCCGCTGCAGTGGAAATGCGCCATAAGTCACTAACATTTGTTCCGGGGCCATTACCAAAGTCAGTAAAATATATGTTCAGCCTGACAGCCAGAGAAATATGTCAGTGACAAAGCTTGAGAGTTGATGGTCAATTTCAGTTTCTATAACAATGGGCTTTACCGAGTAATATTAAAATATGGTACAAATTGAAATAAATTATATGTATCCACCACTATAAGTGGGGACAGGTCCAGCGGTTAAAATATCAAAACACTTGCAATGTACAATTTTATGTAATACCAACCAAGACATCTAAATATTTTAAGGTGTTTTTTACTGATCAACCTATGTTTAACATGTATTTTAAAAATAAAGCTACTAACCCATACACAATAATGTTACTTCAGGTTGAGGTGAGCTTGAATTGTGTGTGTGTTGGCAAGGTTGACTGATTTATTAAGGGTCATTAACTTAAAGTGGAGGGGTATAATAAAGGTTACAGCTGACTGTGTGTACACACACACACACACACACAACACAAACACACACTCTGTACTATATTAATATGTGTGTGGCTTGCCCAGCTGTCTCACACATGACAGCAACCATTTTAAATGTTAATGACTGTGAACCCACAACCTTATGGAAATTAGAAACGGTGACTTGATGAACCCACACGCATACATACACACACACACACACACACACACACACACACACACACACACACACACACACACACACACACACACACACACACACACACACACACACACACACACACACACACACACACACACACACACACACACACACACACACACACACACACACACACACACACACACACACACACACACACACACACACACACACACACACACACACACACACACACACACACACACACACACACAAACGTACCTCCAAGGTCGCAGATGATCTTGAAAGGCGAAAGGTCGAAGGCGGTGACCACGTCTTTACCACAGATGTTCCAAATGGAGTTCATTAACTGCATAAACTTCACCATCTCCTCATCAGACCTACACAAACACACACACACAAAAACATTCCTCTCAGAACATGTTTTCTTTCATTTCAATCTCTGTGTATTAAGGCAACATTTATTTTCTGTAAGCTGTCACCTAAGTTTACTTACTCTGTGTCTACAATAAACAGTCAAACACACACGTACACACACAGAGAGCCTCATCATCTACAAAGTTTCTTCCAGTAGCAACACAGTGTGTGTGTGTGTGTGTGTGTGTGTGTGTGTGTGTGTGTGTGTGTGTGTGTGTGTGTGTGTGTGTGTGTGTGTGTGTGTGTGTGTGTGTGTGTGTGTATAGCCCCATGGCAGGACAGAGTGCTGGGTGATGAGGTGGAGACTCCTCAGAGCAGCAGCAGTCACCACAGGCTCTTTTATTCTGCTACACCCTGGCTCTTGCTCACTCACACACATACTATATACACACACATACATTTACACACACTCTGAGTATCATCTGTTCTGCAACACTAAACTTGTATTCATCTAAACTTCACTGCAGCAAAATGATCAGCAATCCACTGGACCAGACTCCAGCTGACCTCCAGGGGAACTTTGAAAGTGACTCATGGTTGCGGCTTCAGACTGATTACATCGGATGTGAACAGATACAAATGACTGTAAGGCCAAACAGCAGACTGTCAGCTTTAATTTGAGAACATCTTGGATGTAAGTTATCGAATGCCCCCAACGATAACATCTGCAGCCCTTTTTGTTCCCGATTGAGCACATTTACATGCACACTCTGGTTATCTCTGTCCTTAGATATACATTGTTGTAATATCATGGTGGTTTGTGATCAGTCTGTTTGTGTTCTCAACATCCCCACAGGTCTCTGTCATATCTCTGTCACTGACTGGGTTACGGATCATGGCTGCCTGATCTCTGTTGTGTGTTTTATAGCTGTCTTAATGCTTTAGCCTCTCCATTTACTGTACAGATAATTAAAAAAAGGACTGAAAAATATAATTTAAAGTAGTGTACACTTTGACTATGCTTTGACCTCTACCAAAAATGGAGATTGTAATTAATGTGTTGTTTTAATTTCTGTGCGTCCAATGTGTTGTTGACTGATGGTTGAATCTCATTGGGCTGATCCAACATCCATATCTTGGAGAAATAATGTGGTATAATAATTATAATTGTTAGACCAATGTGACATTGATTTGATTCTGTCAAAGAAAATAAAAACTAATAATTAATCAGAAATATTTGAATATGTTAGTATTTCTTTCAAATACCATTTTGACTTTTAATTCTATTTTTTTATTAAGATATTTTACATTATTTGTAGGCTATTACATTTTATGAAATATATTCTTTTTATTTGAAATATATTGCCTGTTTTATTTAGTGCGATAAGCACTTTGAGCTTCATTTAGCACATGAAAGGTTGTGTACAGTTAAAGTCATTGTTATTATCATTGATTGTAATAATGATAATATGATAATGAATACATCAATATGTTCATTTCACAGCATCAGGCTAATTGATTAAATTAATGAAAATATTAACTATGTAACATTCATAATTTAATGGGTTACATGTATTACACTATGTGTTTACTTCTTTATTTTATGCTGAAGTTTGACTTATTTTAATGGACTTTAAGATGAACAATGTAATTACTAATGACCATATCAAGTGAAGCATATCAACCACTTATCTAACCCCTCAAACTATTTGAAATAAAGAAATATATATATAAAATGACATGTAAATCCATGCCACACATCAACCTGCTTTGAACAAAACGATGAGAAGTTTTCATCCGTAGAACGTATTCAGATACAATGTCTTGTATATTTTTGAAATCTCAAAAGCTCTGCAGCCAGTCTTCACTTCAATCTTCTCTGCTTTCTCGAGTATGAGAGTTGAAGCTGCAGACGGGACCGGGCAGTGAATTATTCAGGTGCAGTACACGGCTGGCTAAATGTCGATGAGTAAACAGGAGTCTGAGTCATCAGCCAGCTTCGGATCCTCCTGCTCTGCTCCAGCTCTCTAAGAATGCAGTGAATTACTTCAGCGGTTGTTTCCCTCTTGCTAATTTACCCACAGTATTCACAGGGGAAATCAGCGGGGACAAACAACTGCTACTCCAAATTAAATCAATTGTGCGCAGGTGTTAGAGTTTTTCTCCGAGGGTATTTTCTTTTTCAATCAATTAAAGTTGAATTGCAAATTCATCTACACGAGGGTGTATTACATTATGTGTGCACGATTCATATTTGGAATATTCTCATTTTGCATTTTTGTTAAAGAGGCTGTTTTTGAGAGATCATCAGCTGCTTTTCAAAAGGAAATGAGGACCAAAATGAATCAATTACAGAGATAGTTCAGCTTGTGTAGAACCCTCAACAAGCAGCTACATACAAACATAACTTGCATGACATGTTCAAAATCTAAAAAAATCAAGAGAAAGATTTGTGATATTGGTGTGCGAAAATAATTCATACATCTGCACATTGGTGTTGGTACATTCCATTGCTTTATGAGTAAAGTAATAATGGAAAATTGCGTTTTAACATCTGTTTCATCCTCCATTTGTGCGCATCAGATCAGCTTCCATCAAAGTGAAATGGCTGTGCAAATCATACTGAGGCAGGATGTTTTAGCACTGTGTTTGAGTTTTGACGGCCTCTGATCCCCTGGGAGCAGCAGTGTTCTACAGTACGGTGCCTCGGGCGGGCTCATCGAAACCTATTAGCAAACAAAGTGTGAGACTTTGAGCGTGTGACCCCTGAAAACTGCTGACCGGCAGATCAGTGAAGCGTTAAAACTGTGGGCACTAGTTACCATAAACACGAGACCTCAAGGACAATGGCAGAGATATTCTATATCTCTGCTGCAAGCGCCCTCACATCACCGCCCAAACCCTCTGCTGTCTCTCTGTCTCCCCCTCACACACCCACTGCCTCCTAATGAAGCCCACCAGTTGTTTTTTTAGAGGGAAGAGGATGACAGACAGGCTTACGATGGAGAGAAAGGAGTGGAATTTAAATAAGCAAACATTTGTGTGTGTGTGTGTGTGTGTGTGTGTGTGTGTGTGTGTGTGTGTGTGTGTGTGTGTGTGTGTGGTGTGTGTGTGTGTGTGTGTGTGTGTGTGTGTGTGTGTGTGTGTGTGTGTGTGTGTGTGTGTGTGTGTGTGTGTGTGTGTGTGTGTGTGTTTTGTACCTGTAGAGAGCTTGAAACAGGTCGTTGGAGCTGACTCCAAAAGCCTTTTCATACTGGTTTCTACCCTCCCTGGAAAAAAGACAAACATATTCATATGACAACATGATACGTGTTATATATATATATATATATATATATATGTTATATATTTTCACACATATGTTTATAATTCGAGTGTACAAATTGTGGGATAGGTATTTCTAAATTCTGCTTCAGCTTTATCTCATCTCCACTGTTCAGGTATGCTATGTTTACATCAATTTGCGGTCTATTTTAAGGTACATTCACATGATTCAGTGGTACATTCCCACACAGAAGAGGGTGTCTTCTTCCTTAAGAAGCATATTAACTGGTAATTGTTTTCAGTTTTGCTCACAAAGGGCTGCTGTCTGTCTACCCTCAGACATAACAATGAGAATAAAATCCATTTAAGCCACTGTTCAAACAGAGAAGGAGGACTACATCCTAAAACATGCAGTTCTCCCAGCCCTACCTGTGTGTGATTTTAATTGTAGCTTACTGATTTAATTGAATAACAAAATTCCTGGGAATTGTTAACAATAACAATGTCTTTGTATTTTATAAGCAGTTATAAAGCCCATTGATATGATTCTTGTTTTTATCTGCTCAACTCCCCTTGCAGCATTGTGTGTTCTCAAGTTACATTTTGTTACCTATATTGGTCCTCTACAGATTTTCTTATACAAACACATGTTTAATTCGACAGGTCCTTGTGAAGATATCTGAAAGGCAAAGCACCTCGAGAGGGAGCAAAGACAATCCCCCACATGAGAGACTAAACAAGAAATGTAAATTGATTGATTGTTTAATATTCTCAAATGTTTGCATTTCCTATTTTGTAACATTGCAATTTACACTGAACATTTTTGGTTGTTCATGACATTGTTTTAGGGGAAATTGCGATCTGACATTTTAAAGCTTAAAACGAAAAACTTGTAATTTAAAAAAAAAACATGTGTGACCTGACAGCGTCGGTCAGGTAGTGCCAGCAGAGGTAGATGGTTCTGGAGCTGTACTGGATGGATTGGTAGAGAGAGACAGGACTGGAGCGGGTCAGGTACACACTGGCCTGCTCTGTGTTACTGTAGCACACTGAAACAGGTGGGAGAAGAGAGAGAGGAGGAGGGGGCTAAATCAGTGCAGATGTTTTGATCTTTTATGTCCACATTGGAGACAAGGACAATTATAGGGAGGTGGGCACGTTGGTGGGGGAGCAATTGACAATGTATAACACGCATGATAAAATAAATAATGAAGCCTTGAAAATCAAGAGAGAGAAATAAAACATTCTGGTGATTGACTGTTTTAAGTCAAATCCATGATGTACCTCCATTCATCTGTGAAACAAGTGTGAGGAAACAGTTTTGCCAGGGTTATTTTTCAAATCGTCTTTTATAATCATTGTAATTACTCAAAGTTTGACCACTTAACTTATTTAGAGGTTGTTAGACTATTGAAGAGTGTGTGTGCTACTGCTGACCTTGTCCATTGTCCCGGTGTGTGTTGAGGAGCTGCAGGCCGGCGCAGGCAGCCAGCAGCCTCTCTGTGCCGTCCAGACTGGCTCCTATGGCCTGACTGATCTCCTCTGCAGACAGGGGGCGCTCTGCAGCCAGCAGCACATCAAACACCCCCAGCTCACAGGAGGAGAACACTGTCTGTGTCAGAGAGAGACACAGCTAAAGGGGAGTTCATTCATAGTAGAGGGATTCTACAATTTAGGGTACATTCCATGTCCATTGATGTCCATTGATGATAATTATAACTATTTTCTTCAAAAATATCATATTTTGCCTATTATTGGAAAGCATGATAATATCACACACACATTATGTGCATCTTATGCTTTATTTAGCTTGAAATGTGTCATGATGTTCTTAAATTGTCAGTTCTCATTCATAACACTCCGTTCGATGTCTCACTATGGGATGCGCCTCATCGCGGAGCAAACAGAAGCATCAATCTCATTACGCCAATCCTGATTGGCTGATGATCTTGACGTCAGCGTCAGGGAATTCACCCCCTATAAGTAGCTTGTGCAATGACGCATGCGTAATTCAAACACCTCTTCTCGCTTCAGAGCACATCTCTATAGTAGCCGGACAAGCTTAACGGTCCACAGACTGAACCCAAATATAACCATTTAGGTCGATGGGCGCTCGCCGGCTACTCCTTCTGCTTTGCAGGAAGACGGTAATACTAACGCCAGTTAGTATTGAAATCGACCTCGCCGTTTCTTTCCCCGGGAAAGTAAGGTAAGGTTTTGATTTTTCTCAAGCTAGCTACGCACCTGTTGCTAGCTAGCTTCCCCTTACTACCGACACCACGGTAGCGAGGACGCTTTTCTTTTTCTCTCTCACGGAGGAGAAAAGGATTAGAAGTATATTGACACACCAGTCAATATTCTTTGAGAACAAAGGACCCACATCGTCCCTTTGTTGAGACGCGGGAACGGAGCACCACGCCTCACCAGGCGGGAGCTCCCGGCGAGACCTCACCATGGTCTCGCCCGCGGAGGATGTCCTGGAATTAGACTGGAGGACGAAGAGGACACCTCTGAGTCCTTCCTGTCTGATTCGGATGAGCAAGAAGAAGATATCTTCATGTCAACGGCTCAAACGGCAAAGCCGGGAGCGATGGCTGCTCTCCCGGGCGATAGCACACCAGCTTCGCCCTGTCTGAGCATGGACCTGCAGGCCGCGTGTCAGCGCGCTGCGTTTCAGGCATCCCGTGGCCCGAAATGGCCAAGGAGACCGCCAGGTCCCGTTACGAGGGGAAACATTCTCCCCAAGCAACGAGGACAAGGAGGCAACTCCTCCCGGTCTTCCCGGAGATGTTGGATGAGGTGTCGGTCTCGTGGAGGGACCGACCCTTTAGCAACAAGGCCCCAATCCAGGGTGCCTCCTCCCTAGACTGCGACGGTATGGAGAGGCTCGGCCTGCTCCGCATACCGCCGATGGAACTGCTGGTGGCAGCCCGCATCCTACCGAGGATGGGCCCGTCACCAAGCAGGAACCCCACGCTGCCAGCGAAGGTGGACCGTTTCCAGTCGACCATGACTGAACGGTCCTACAGAGCCGCAGCGTTGTCCGCCAGGGTTCTGAACGTTTCCTCATTGCTAACCGCATACCAAGCGGAGCTTTGTGAGGATATGTCGAGTAATCCTGGACCGGCCGTTCTGGACGAGTTGGCCGCGGTCACAGACATTTGTCTCCGTGTCCAACGCTGCGCCGTCCAGGCCACGGGCAAAACAATGGGGATCATGGTGGTGCAGGAAAGAGCTAGATGGCTCAACCTCACCAACCTCCCAGACCGGGAAAAGGAGGATGTGCTTGACATGCCCATCGTTCCCGAGGGAATTTTCGGCTCTGCTCTTGCCTCCATGCAGAAGAGATGCGAGTCGAAAAAGAAGGAGGACGAGGCCCTCCACCTCTGCCTCCCTCGAAGGGCCAAGCCGCTGCCTTCGCAGCGGCAGCCCTTCGTCCAAGCTGCCCCGAACCCTGCTCGGTTCAAAATACCGAAAACGCAGAGGTCGCAGTCCGCCCCGAGTCCCCAGCCCAGGCAGGGGACGAGGGCGAGCTGGCCTAGAAAATCTCCGGTTCCGGCTGCAGCCCAGGCGCAGCCAACCCAGAATTTCGGCCAGCAGTCGAGGAAGAAGAAGCGAGCGGCGTGACAGCCCCTCCTTCACCCATCTGTGACAGAGCTGGAAGTCTACGGTTCCCCAGCTCTAAATGTGTTCCCGCCGCCTCGAGAGATGCCTCAACACCATCCTCAAGTCCGCATATCACATGTCACACACTTATTGATTTTTCTGTCATAAAACATTTTCCGCTGACGCATCCAGGCTTCGAGCCAAGGGCGCAGCTCGAAAAAATGAAAAGAAAAACAATTAAAAACAATAAACAGTCCGTCAATTGTTCCCCTTCTGAGAGCAGCTACGGCCTCTCTCAAAGGGCGGACAATTGACAGGTCTGTGAAGGCACCACCGTCACGCGCATGCGCAGTGCCGGCTGGAGCTGTAAAGGCACCACCGTCACGCGCATGCGCAGTGCCGGCTGGAGCCGTAAGGGCACCACCGCCACACGCATGCGCTGTGTCGGTGGGGATTGTCGAAATGGGGCACCACAGTGCTCAGACACTGGAGGGCCCCATAACACAACAAATAGAGAGTCAGAGGGGAAGAGACATGACATCTCAGCTGGCTCTAAGGAGCATACAGCGGGATATGCTCACGACATCTGCTTGGGTTTCTCAAGACAGTTACACGGAGCTACAGACTCCAAGTCACCGTCACCCCCCCTCGCTTCTCGGGCTATCTGTATTCCCAAGCCCGGGGAGAGTCAGCCCATATTCTGGAGAGAGAGATTCTCTCACTCCTAGAAAAGAGGGCTATATCTATTGTACCCGCCGAGCAGAGTCAGGGCGGCTTCTATTCCAAGTACTTCCTCATTCCCAAACGGGGAGGGAACGGAATTCGGCCAATACTTGATTTGAGGGCTCTGAACAAATATCTAAGAAGATATAAGTTCAGAATGCTCACTCACACATCTCTGCTGCGGCTCGTGCGACAAGACGACTGGTTTACATCAGTCGACCTGAAAGATGCGTATTTTCACATCCCAGTATATTACCCACACAGGAAATATCTGAGATTCGCATTTCAGGGGATCTGTTATGAATACAGAGTACTCCCCTTCGGTCTGTCTCTCAGTCCAAGGGTGTTTGTACGATGTACGGAAGCCGCGATAGCCCCGTTAAGACAACAGGGTATTCGCCTGGTGACCTACCTGGACGACTGGCTGCTTCTCGCACAGTCGGAGCAGGAGGCTGTTACGCAGACAAATGTCCTCGTAAAGCACCTGCTCAATCTGGGTTTCATAATAAACACAGAGAAGAGCATGTTGTGCCCCGCGCAGTCTATACTCTTCCTGGGTTTACACCTGAACTCGGTGCCCTTTTCAGCTCGCTTGTCAGCGGAAAGAGTGAAAGCTTTCAGAGCTTGTCTCGCTCTTTTCCAGCTGCGCAAACATGTTCTCTTCAGATCATGCCTGCGATTGCTGGGGCTCATGGCGTTAGCCATCCTGGTCGTACTAAAACTCCGCGCGCCATGGGATGAGAGTGATGGTTACTGTGAAATGCGTAATGGCACTGCGCCACTGGCTGCACCCGACTTTTCTAGTACGAGGTGTGCCTATGGGTGCTGTCTTTTCACGGAAAGTGGTCACCACGGACGCATGTCTGACAGGTTGGGGAGGTATTTATGAAGGTCGCCCGGTGAGGGGTCTCTGGAGCAGAGACCTCCAGCGGGCGCACATAAATTACCTGGAGCTTTTAGCGGTGTTTCTCACCCTAAAACGCTTTCTGCCTTTCCTCAGGGGACATCACGTCCTCGTGAGGACAGACAATACGACGACAATATCGTATATTAACCGCCAAGGGGGTTTGCGTTCTCTCCAGTTACACACACTGGCGCGCAAACTGATCCTATGGAGCGGTAGACGTCTCCTCTCTCTGAGAGTGACGCACGTACCGGGAGTGATGAACCTCGGGGCAGATCTACTGTTCAGAGGTATACCACTTTATGCAGACTGGACTCTACATCCAAGGATTGTGAACCAGCTGTGGGTGCGTTACGGCAGAGCCGCGGTGGATCTGTTTGCATCGAAAGACAACGCTCAGTGTCAGCTGTTCTTTTCGATGCGCGATCTAAATGCACCTTTAGGCGTGGATGCACTCGCGCACGATTGGCCCCCGGGCCTTCTGTACGCGTTCCCACCCCTGGCTCTGATACTCCCCAACTCTGGCCAGAGTGAGAGAGCAATGCCACACACTTATCCTGATAGCTCCGCACTGGCCAGCTATGTACTGGCTAGCGGAGATATATCAGCTGCTGTGCGGGCAGCCATGGCAGCTCCCACTATGCAGGGACATACTGTCCCAAGCGGGGGGGCGATCTTTCACCCACACCCAGAGCGCTTGGCTCTATGGGCCTGGCCCGTGAGTGGTACAATCTGAATACAGTGTGACATGAAGCTGACCCTGGCAGCTGCCAAGCGAGCCAGTGGCACTCATGCACTATCTGTACAGTCTTCATGCACTCAGTTCGCCCCAGGGCAAACAGAGTGGGGTTGAAGCCCAACCCTGCCTTTATCTTAAGGCGGTTGGTTCAGGTACCACATTTGACATTGAGGCATCCTCCCCGCCACTTTATTCCTCCGGGGAACAGCGGCCGGATTTGCCGTGTCTAGCCCGTGCTGTACGCATGTACAGGGACAGATCAAGGGTGCTTCGTCATAATGACCAACCCCTTGTGTCCTGGGCTAACCCTTATAAGGGCAAGCCTGTTACTAAGCAACGGCTCTCCCACTGGTTTGTGGAAGCAATTGCTTTGGGGCCCATACGAGTCAGAGTTCGCAGGCACGCTCGGGTCCGCGAGCTCTTTCGACTCAGGGTCTGGCTGCATCCTGGGCTCTGTCCAGGATGTCTCCCATCCAAGACATTGGTGCAGCGGCGAGCTGGTCCTCGCCGCTCACTTTTGTCCGCCTCTTAACAGGCTGGACGTTCTGCTCCCAGTGTGACTCAAGCAGTGCTTAGAGATAAGCTCGTCTGACAATACGGGAGCTACAATTTCCCATAGTGAGACATCGAACGGAGTGTTATGAATGAGAACTATAGGTTACTTACGTAACCCCAGTTCTCAGAGTAACATGAAGTGAGATGTCTCACCAGACGACCCTCCTTGCTATGGTGAAGCGAGAAGAGGTGCTTATTTTGAATGACGCATGCGTCGTGGCGCAAGCTACTTATAGGGGGTGAATTCCCTGACGCTGACGTCAAGATCACCAGCCAATCAGGATTGGCGTAATGAGATTGATGCTTCTGTTTGCTCCGCGATGAGGCGCATCCCATAGTGAGACATCTCACTTCATGTTACTCTGAGAACTGGGGTTACGTAAGTAACCTATAGTTTTTGCTATGTCTGCTTTTCAGTTGAGGGTGTCTTGGTTTCAAAATAATGAATAAAAAACATTAAAGTAAATACAAAAAAAGTATTCATTTATTTCACAAGTCTAAATACTAAAGAATAATAATATTTTTTAAATTTATTTCCTCCTTTAAATAATTTAAATATCTTAATATATGAATGTCCGCAAAAGTTCTGTCAACTATGTTACTAACAGAACTCCCCCCTTTAACTCAAAAATGGTTTGTCCCAATACCATGTCAACCATGCCAACCATGATGCCATGTTCCTCTTTGGCAGACATTTTGAACACACTGTGGTGATTGTCCTCTAATTTTGTACAATATTTGATGTGCACATTGTCAATGAGTATATTAATTGACCATCAACAATGTTACATACATTGTTATGGTTTACAATTGCTTAATGATTTTAACTCAATGATATGTTCAAATGTGATGTTAACCTGTAAAGAAAATGACATGTGGTCATCCAGGCAAGGCCTACCAAATGATGGGTCAAAATAGGGAAATTGTCAACTAGGTTACCTGTCAACTAAGTTACCCAGTACTGTAATAACTGTAGTAACTTAGTTGACAGGTAACCTAGTTGACAATTTGTATGACATGTAGACATCATTACACATCATTATCAATGGAATTTTGCACTTCTGCCTTGAAATGAACATAGTGCTGATGGTTAATAATGTGTCCAGTCAACTATGTTATTTCCGTCAAATGTTTGACTTTCATTGTCAACTATGTTACACCTCATTTTTTCAAATGTTAAATATCTAAAATAGTGCTTCTGATATCCTTTATAGTATAATGTATATCTACACAGGTTGGAGTTTTACATGACATCTCTTAAAACTATCAAAATGACCTGTATGGTAGTTTTATAATACAAAATATCCCTATCCTTAATGACAGTGCTGAACAAAACTTTAATACAATTATTTTTTAATCTTTAAAAAATATTTGGATATATGGTAGAATAGACTCAAGAGCCTTTCAAATTTGATTTTACTTGAAGTGCAGGACTTAATCAAATGATTGTAATGACATCAAGTTTGTCCGTAACATAGTTGACAAACTGAGTAGTGAAAACATCCTTTCCCTTAAAATAAAAAAAAATAAAAAAATGTTTAAGCTTTGCAACTAGTGGATATGTTACACTGAGGAATATACTAACTTGAACCACTGATTGTTCTATTGAGAAAGAACACTTTTTTTGTACTGTTTTGTTGATGAAATGCACCCTAAATTATAGAATCAGTCAGTAGATGATCAATAGAGTGCAGTCTGTCTGCAGCAACACTTATCTCCTTGAGCACACATGTGTTTATTGTGATCATTTGTTGTGGTGCTTCATTCAGGTGTACATGCAGGTCACTAACATGCAGAGTAAAGGATTAACTAGACTTAATATTAAAGATGCATTCTAACTGTCATGTTAGAGTGAGTTTAGCTGCAATTTTGATGTACATCAGTAATGTTTTTAATAAAAGACTGCTGAGCATATTGTACATGTTTGTGCCTTTTCTGATGTATTCATTAACTATAATTATTTCTCTTGTTTTTCTCTAGTTACCATTTGCTGAAATACCTTGGAATCCTTCAAATGAAGCTTCATCATCCATCCATTATAGTTTATATAATTATTTTTAAAAATGCAGAAAACTGACGAGTGGTTGGTGACAAAGCCTCAATTAGATTAGGGCTGCAATTAATATTCGTTTTGTTCTGTGAAACCAAAATAAAATAACATTTCAGAATTGTGTCTAAAGATTTTGTTCAAGAATGTTGACAATACATTTCTGTTGATTGACCAATTGATTAACATTGTTTTTGCTTTTATGAAAATACATCACATTGATGTAACATTAACCTTCAGGAAAAGAATGAGACACTTTGGGTCATTAGCTTTAAACTGAGTAAAAGGGAGATGCATCCCCGTTTGTGACCCATGAAGGGCAGTATGTATGCACAACATGTGTGTGTTACCTTGGAGATGAGGAATCCTTCCATATACTCCAGGATCTTCTTAGGATACATGTCTGCAGCTGGTTTCCCCTCAGATGAAGCCCCCTCTTGATTCTCTGCCATGGCCGCAGTTTGGACAGGACTCCCTGAAAACAATCTAAAAATGTCTTCAACATGCAAAGTGAACGTCTCCTGTTGATCAGTCCTGCTCCTGAGGCACTTCAGCAGGTGTGTGTGTGTGTGTGTGGATGCAGTGAAGACAGGCGCAGACTAAAGCAACACAAAGTGCCCACCCAGCAGTGGTTATGGTTAGGCTAAACTGATTACAGCCAGATAACCCAGATTAGAGCAGGGGCTCAGTCTGCAGTGGACAAAGAAATAACTCTGGCAATACACTGCTGCCTTGTTCATGATCACTCACACTCACTTGGATGGAGACTTTCACTCAGAAATGCTCACACCAGACGTGTTTTGACACCAAAATGTGGTTGTAGCGCCTGGTAGGGCTGCTCGATTATGGCAAAAATCATAATCTCGATTATTTGGGTCAATAATTGTAATTGCGATTATTAAATGCGATTATTCATTGACTTTGAAAACATCCATTTATTGGAGAAAAAAAATGTGAACAGTATGTTTTTAACAGTTGATTACCCTGAACTTTAAGTATAATTCAACTGAAAAAAGTAATAATAATAAAAAAATAATCGTTTTATTTCGATTACGTTGTTTTCGTAATCGTTGCAAGCCATAATCGTAATCGCGATTAAAATACGATTAATTGAGCAGCCCTATAGCGCCTGGACTACCAAACCTCTGGGGGGGGGGAACGGTGTTTTATAAAAGATGTGCTCTCCATCTCTTCTCCATAAGGCCTGATTGCACCTACACTGAGAGACTAATGGTGGCTTCAGACCTACAGTAATGACACAGACGGCCATGTCACAGGTCTGGAGTTGTGGAAGTTGTCACCATGTTCCTTCAGGAATTTAGTTTGAATAGAGATAACATTTTCAAGATCTGTTGTGACAGTTTTTAAGTACAAAGTTACAGAGGCAGAAAACTCAAGTTTTCTTTTGACTTTAATATTAACAATGTGTATGCAACGCATTCTCTAGTTTAGATCATGAGAACATAGTACACAAAACAAGAGGGCTTTGCAATGTCGAGTAACAATGTCAATGTAGCAGCGTAGGGCTGAACGATTAATCGATTTTAAATCGAAATCGCGATTTGAAATGATGCGATTATCAAATCACAAAGCCTGCGATTTTTTAAACATTATTTTCTTTTTTCTTGTGTGTCAGTCATCCACACCAATCAGAAGTGCTGTACTCCACATGTACCAGACATTGTTAACCAATCAGAAGTGGCCCATGATAGAAGGTGATAGACAAATTGATCCAATCACCTGCCAAGTGCTTTTGAAAGTGCCTGCCCTTTCCAAATGGCTTCCAATGGAGCTTTCCTAGATGGTTTGGTGAAACAAACCATCTGAGTCAGGTTAGTAATGCTCCATCACATGTTTCTATTACAGGGTGAATCTTAAACTGAAGCTTGACTTTAAAGCAACCCAACGGAAGTTACATGTAAGTTTAGTTCTTTCACTCGTAGCTCGGGCTGCGTGGGTGCTAGAGACGGGAGTACGTTGATACGACCTTCCTAGCCGCAGTTATGGCCGCATTTTACAATCAACTTCCGTTGGGAACAAATATCGCAATTCGAATCGCAATCGCAATATTTGTCAGAAAAATCGCAATTTGCTTTTTCCCGAAAATCGTGCAGCCCTATAGCAGCGTCAACAACACTGATGGGACTTTCCTCCCCAGAGCTGAAATATAGCAAAGAACGGTGTCTGATTCAGATTCAACGGCTTTAATGTCAGCTACAGTGTAGAAATGGCAATGAAAAGTCCCGACCTCCTCCAACATAGTTATATAAGACATAAAACAATACAAATAACACCAAAAAAAAAGCTTCATAAATGTATCCAGCGCTACATTGTGAAGCTAAAAGAAGGAGTTACATCCTAACATATCATTTAATTTGGTTGCATCATCATATCGCATTTATTATATTAACCCTCACACATTAAAACATATAAAATGAAATTAAAAGAAATCAGTCTTTGAGCTGCTCACCAGCAACACAGACAATACTCAAGCAGTATTGCAAGACATATTTCAGGCAGCTAACACATCAGGCAGACTGCAGGTCAGCGTAAACATCGAGGAACATTTGTTATGGTCTGGGGAAACTTCACATTTGTAAAGGAGCAGCAGCCTGTAGTCCACGTTAAAGTCTTCCACAACTATGGCAGCAACGAGGTCTGAAAGTGTGTGTGTATTTTCGTAAGTAATATGTGGACCAACTGACCGAACCACATCAAAATAAGGAACACAATTTGTTCTCTGGACTTGTTACTTCCTCGAAATCAATTATATTCATGCACTTGCTCACAGAAAATGGAGGTCAGACTGGCGTTCAATCTACATATACAGCGGGCTAACGATATTAGCCTTTAATTATCCAATGCTCAATGAAATTTGAATTAACTTCTATATTATGTATAATGCTTTTAAGAGTCAAAATGTTGATAAAATGTATTTCAAGCTTTACAAAGAATACTTTTTTAGAAACCAAATAGTAAATGTGGTGTTTCATGTATAAAATATGAAGAAAATAAAAAGGTAAAAGCATTTCCGTGGAATCCATTTCACCAATTGACATGGCTTACATTTACACGGTATACTCGAATTATGTTTTTTTTTTTTGTCAAGCTTGTTGAACTTCAGCCAAGAATAAATCAATGAACACTGATAATATTAACACTGACAGCAGGACTAGCAGCGCCTGGAGCAGGTCCTGTCTCTGCTGTTGCTGTGTCTCTTGTATCTGTTATGGCTGTGGCTCCTCCTATCTCTGCTCCTGTTGCTGGCCTTGGAGCAGCCTCTGCTGTATCTATGGTGCCTGTGGCTCTTCCCCCTGCTGTAGCTCCTCCCACTGCTGCTGCGGCTCCTGTCCCGGCTGGAGCTGGTGCTCCTGCAGCTGTGGCTGCGTCTCCTGCTGCCGTGGCGACTGACGCCCCTCCTGTGCCGACTGGAGCTCTTCTTGTGACGACTGGAGCTCCTCCTCCTCCTGCTGCTGTGGCTCCGCCTCCGCCGGCCCCGGCTGTTGGAGCTCCTCTCTCTGTGGGGGGGCTCACGGCCCTTCGCTTGTTCCCTACCGTGCTTGCTCCCCACCACCTCCTCCTTTCTTCTCTCTTGCCCTTTCTTCCTGTCCTCCCCTCCCCTCCTCTCTTCTCTTTTCTTCCCTGAAACGTGTGAATGGGCACTCGATTTGGACCCCTGCTTTTCTTTGCTCTCGCCGGCCTTCACTCCATACACCCTGCTCAGGACCCCCAGCATCACATCATCGCCGCGGGGATCAGAGGCCTCCTCGCTGGTCACAGGGCCCGCCTGCTCCTGCGTGAGAGGAGATCTTGAGCTTTTCATGCTGCCCTTCTTCATCAGGTTGCAGACCAGTCTCTCCCTCAGCTCCTTCTCACGCCGCTGGAGTTCCAGGGCTCGGTCCTTCTCCACCTCCACCCTCCGCAGCTCCTCCTCCTGCTTGCGTCGGAGGGCCTCCAGCTGATGAAGACGCGTGAGTTCCTCCTTCTGCCGAGCCCGCTCTTTCCGTTCCTGCTCCTCCCGCTCGGCCCGCTCTTTCTCCTGCTCCTGCTGCTTCAGGGCCTGGAGAGGTGGAGGAAACCACAATGAGATAAAAGACACTATTCAAATAAAAAACTAAATTGTCAGCAGAAATCCAAATTTAGGTCGGACACAAAGGGACAAAGCACTGCTCTAAACTACATTACATTACATTACATTGCATTTAGCTGACGCTTTTGTCCAAAGCGACTTACAATAAGTACATTCTACTCTACATGTTACATCATCCAATTGTCATACACAAGCAATTTTCTGCAAAGCACACAATCTCTAATTATTAGAATGTTCTACTCTTGTGAAATCTGGTTATTTGCAAGAAGGTATTAAAACCAGCTAGTGGCAACGAATCACACGTTTTATCTAAATTGTTTATTCGTACATCAACACAAGTGAATTCTTGGCCGTGAGCAGAAACATCTTGAAATGTCGTCTTCATATTTAACTGACAAATATGAGAGTAGAGTCAATTTCAGCTTAAGGAAGCCAGCCTTGGCATCAATAGCACTCTTTAATGAAATACTCAAAAAGAAAAGTTGCACTCAGCGTTTCTGAATATGTATGAGGCCTAGTGAGGTTTCAAACACTAAATCTTAACCTACTAGAGCTTCACATTTGGTTCAAATTAAGTTAAAAAACTACCAGACGATTAAAGAATCACATTTGTAGACATTAACCTAGGTATTGGTATGTTTACACATCCATATAGCTCTGTATGTATGCGTGTGTATCAGTGTTTCCGCCAGACCAGGGCTGAGAGGGCGTCCACCCCGAGAGCGGGGTGCTTTAATTTTGACTTGAGCCGTCCCTTATAGATACTGTCGCTTTACGTTAGTGAGCCGGATCATTTGGCTGTTTCGGCTCCCAAACGGCTCTTCATGTTACCACAGTTTACCACGGAGCCTCAGTTTCGCCGCTGCGAGGCTCTGGTGCTCGCTGCTCACGCACGTGCTCCACTAGCACCGCTCATCGCGTCCAAATCGTGCACGTTCCGTGTTGTCCTGTGGCAGGCACCTTCGATGTCGGGGAAACGATCTTCAATACTCCAAAAAGAATCCCACCAGACTCCTTTACCCCTGAGGGATGTCCTTGTCCTTTCTCCTTTTCGTCATTTCAAGCCATAAACACTCTCGATGTTCTCTCGAATTATTAATATTTTTGGACGCCCTCGGCTCGCGTTCAGGGCGTCCCGCGCTGAATAAGGGCGTCAAATGACGGCAAGACGCCCCCCTGGCGGAAACCCTGGTGTGTATATTCAGAGGTGTATTGTGTATGTGCATGGCGTACCTTGGCCCTGGCCAACAGCTCAGCGATGAGCCGGATGGACTCCAGGTTGCGCTGAGCCAGCAGCAGCCTCCTCTCCTCCATGGCGATCTTCATCTGCAGCTTCTTCTGCTCCTCTTCCTGCTGCCGCCTCACCTTCTTCATGTTCTTCTTCTCCTCCTTCTCCCGCAGCTTCTGATCTCGCTTTCGTATCCTCTCTTCCTTTCTCCTCTCCTTCTCCTCCTCTTCGTGCTCCTTCTGTTTCCTGTAAAAAATATGAAGTGAACATCTGTTATCTATGAATTGTGGTCAAACAGTGGAAATGCATTGTCACTGCTCTTGGTACAGTGTGGGAAGGATTCAAAGCACCGAAAAACAGATTGAGTGTAGTTTTGGTTTCAGAGAATGCATAAACATTCGCTGCCCTAAATCACTTTTCCGTGTTGTGCAATATAAGCTCGTTTTTGTCTTCCATCATACCTCTCCTCATCCTTACGCCGCTCCTCCTCTTCCTTCTCCCGTCGTTTCTGCTCCTCTCTCTGCCTCTCCAGCTCCTGTAACTTCAGCCTCTCCAGGCCCCTCCTCTTCAGGGCCAACTCACTCAGGTGCTTGTTGGTGTCAAAGGCCACCTGAGGAAAACACATGGATAAGGATTAGCAAAATGGTTCATTTTATTCATCAGTAAGTGAAACAACATGTACATTTTCTTGTAAGAATCACTTTTTATTCTAAGAACTAGACCCTCCAGAAAAACGCGATTCTGCGATCGCAGAATTTACCGCATAATCAGCAAAATGGCGCAGATTTTTTAAAAGGCCGCATATTTATCAAAAGGGCGCATAATCCCCGCATTTTTCCACACAAAGTTGAGAAGAGAAAAAAAGTTAACTCGTCTTGACGTGAAGTGATGATGACGCGACGTCATCAGCTCGTAAACAACACCGTAGAGTGAACGTGTGGAACTCACACGAGAGAGAAAACACCAAGATGAAACAATCTAATCCATCTCATTTACCGACAAACATTTCTGCTAAAGACCGGGCAAAGCAGTACCCCGATGTCTTGCACGAAAGTGGGGGGAAACTATTCTGCACCCCGTGCAACTGTGTTGGAGCATAAGAGAAAATCCACGGTGACGACGACCCACTTTGATTCATTCAAACATTCGAAAATGCTTTCTGCTGCTGCGGACAAGAAAGCCAAACAACTCACGTTCACCGAGGCATCGACCTCCAAAACCCTTTCGAGGGCTACAAGAAACGAGGTGAGAAGCCTACAAGATTGAAGCTGGTCAGATAACGAACAAGTAAATGAAAACAGAATGAGGCGGAGAAGTGTGTGTGTGTGTGTGTGTGTGTGTGTGTGTGTGTGTGTGTGTGTGTATGTGTGTGAGTGTGATTAAAATAGCCCAATTGCTTTTACAATACATAAACATTGAATGTGTTTAATTGTATAGTAAAGGGGTTTAACATTAGTGGCAGGTTGTGTGTGAGAGAGAATAAATAAATAAGACAGCCCAATATTGATTTTTTCCGCATATTTCCGCATATTTCGCAACTTCCGGCAATTTCACCGCATAAAATCACATAAAAACCTGCATGTTTGATCGCATAATCAAGGATTTTAGCCCGCGTTTTTCTGGAGGGTCTAAACTAAAGAATACTCCACTGTGTGCTACAATGTTTTATTGTAGTTTTAATAACGTTGCTGTAACGTGTCTGTGTTTTGCTTTGGTCATCCCAGACAGTGATGCAAAATCTAATTTAGTATTGTAGAGAATGGGAATAATACATGTATTTGAGTAACTCTGATAATCCACATTTTACAGCTTGATGATGTAATGTTAAATCACACAATGACAGTGCTTTGGTTAAAACAGACTTATTCAATACTGATCAGGCATGGAGAGTCATCGTTGTTTTAAAACAAAGTAAGATAAAGTCCTTCATGTTTTGGCAAAAGCTGTTTACCCTAATTTAGATTTCACAGTGAAGCGTTATGCTGTGGATTAAGAGACCTGGCTCTCCCCATACCCTCATTACCCTTGAAATGATGACGAGGCTTAGATTTTCATTCCACTAAAAGGTCTTAAAGCTGCAATGCGTCTCCCTGAACAACACAATCTAATTGCTGAAATCTGCCTATATGCAATATCACTGCAGCATTAACAATTCACTCATGGCCAAAACAGAGGTATGTGGAAGTCTGATAGGCCTACGTGGGTCATTCAGACCAAGAATAGCATTGTGTTATAAGAACTTAACAATCAAAATGGACATTGTTTATGTTACAAAGTAATCTCCCTCACCAAGTGTGTTTGTATGTCTGACCAACAAACTAACCCTTCAAGTTTTCCCATTTGCTTCATTGAGAAAATAATATAAGTTTTAGATATAGTAATGAACATATTTAGGATATCAAGCTTAATTTTGTGCACATGGTCACGAAGCTCAGTAAGCATTTAAGGTATGATATATTGACTATCTCAAAACTGCAAAAGTAAATCAATAATTGAGAAGATAAATAACCATCCCTTTCTGCATAATGTTCTTGTACAGTACTTAACAACCAGGAGAGCCTGCAGTACCTTGATGTTGCAGGCCACGGCCTTCCCATCGTCTCCTTTCAGCATCAGCTTCATGCTGCGCAGGGTGTCCATGGCCTTGGTGAAGCCCCCGTACTCCTGGTACTGGACATAAGCCTCAAAGTTCAGGTGACCACCGAAACTGAACGTGTTGAAGTTCTTGTCCAGCATCTCCTCCCTGTACGGGTCCAGCATGGGGATATCTACATTCCGCACCTAGGATTAAACAGTGGCATATTGGTCAAATCAAATGTTATTTTAGGGCTGTCAAACGATTAACATTTTTAATCATATTAATCACAGCTTAAAAATGAATTAATCATGATTAATCACCATTTGAACTATGTCCAAAATAAGCCATTTATTTATGCATATTGTTGTGTGAATGGAAAGATAAATGAAAGAAGGCGGATATATCCATTTCACATACAGTATCTATGTTTATTATAAAACATTTCTGCGTGTCAAAATGAAAGACAGCCCACACACCTATCAATCATCAAACCGTGGGGTCACGGAGACCGACTCTGTCGTCCGGTGATCTAACCGCCTTCTGGAAAAGCTTCACAAGTACGTCGGTACGCAAATGCGCTTTGTGACACAAGTAACGGTACGTATTTCAGATTACGCACATAACCTGCGTACCAGTTATGTGCACCCCTGTACTACAGCAAAAGTATTCTCCGTCGGGACTTCCTGCAACAACACCACGCCGTTATCAAAGATGTTCTATTGAGAAGACGATCGCTACGTGACAAAAGTTTTCAAAACCGTGGCTACTGAAATCAATCTGACTAACTGCTGTCTGTGCAATATACTCCGCGCGAGTTGGCAGACTTTATTTTGCTTACTTTAACATCATTTTTCATGGTGGGGCTAAGCCATTTATTGGTATGGGTGTAGTCTACCCCAGCCATACCCTGGCGCTGCCACTGGTGGCACACGGGGCGGGCCATTCTGCACATGCGTTAAATGCGTTAAATATTTTAACGCAATTAATTCAAAAAATTAATTACCGCCGTTAACGCGATAATTTTGACAGCACTAGTTATTTTTGGTTCAACCTCTAAATATCGATGATGCAACAATATAAAATACATGACGTTTACTGATTTGGTCAGTATTCTCAATCAAATGTGTTCGGCAACTCTATCATTTACATGTACAAGCTATCTATAATGAGTTATATTAATTTAATCCCCAACACCTTTTTTCCATGAAGCTCATTATTTCAAACAAACAAATAACAACATGTAGATTTCAATGTTCAGGTTAAGTTCCTGTTCAACATAGAACCAGAACATTTCCCACCTTGCCAAATGTCTCAAAGACCGCAATGAGGACCTCTTCAGAGGGCCGGTCTGGGAACGGGCTGTCCTTCTTGCTAAACCATCGGCAAGGAATTCCCTCCATGTGGATGGTGTCAGGCCTCTCCCCCGGCAGAGTCTCATTCATGTCCTTTGCATCGCGGAAGAAGGAGTCCCAGTCGTGACGTGTAGGGAAGTCCACTTTGTTCTCTACTGCACGGACCTGAGGAAAGAGGGAGGGGAGTGTCAATATACAGTTTATTAGGAACAATTAAATATATCTGAAAACCTCCCTGCGATGGATTATATTTTAGTTGAAGCCGTTTTAGAGAGGCATTGATTACATTTTATGAGCATTTTGGTGATAATGCCGAGAAGTACTTCTTATATTTAGTCATTGATATAAATGACGTGGGCAAAAATATAAAAAACATCTGTCGGTACAATAAAATGTAACTCAAATGCGCCAAATCTGCAGCCATCAACATATCCAAGTAAGTACCAGGAACAGACGCTGGAATTAGCAACATAACCAGCAAAGCTTTAAGATGGGCTTTGCGGTCAACAATAATGTCAGCCTTACCTTCAGTACATCAGTAAATCCACTCAGTTTGATGCTCTTTCCATCTAAGCGAGACAACAGGCTCTTGACCACTGTCCTGTTTTCCACCTCGCCCTCAAAGCGGATGAAGTCCATGGTGCTCTTGGAGATCCGCAGGGCTGAAAACTGCTCTGGAGCTACCATAGACTTCACCCTCTCCATCACCTCCCAGTTGGAAATGCTCTTGCCTGGCAGCTTGAGCTGGGGCAGGGCCACACTGACGGTCATTTTAGCAATGGGCTTGAGGTACAGGTTGTACTCGGAGGAGAGGCACACTGCCTCTGTAGTGTCATGGACAATGGTGGTCATTGTGGCCGACATAGTGGAGAAAGCTGCAGGAAGATGGAGACACTGTTAGCTCATCATATGTGCTTTTGAAATAATCATAAATGACTTAACTATTTTTAGTTTATTCACGTAACAAACAAAATCAAGCGAGACAGTGATTTAAAATGTAAAAATGATGGTTCTGACTAGTTGATACTAATACAATAACAGAGAGCTTTCCAAACTAAACTCCATTCAAAAAATCAATGTTTATCGGAAAACACACAGGTGGTTATTTTAATTGTATTAGGTACACATCAAAGTCAGAATGCAGCGCTTAAATGTTATATTAGGCATTTAGTTTACAATTAATTTCTTTGTATACAGAGGTTAACATATTCTTAGGGTAGATAATCACAGTTCTTTATGTCAGTTATCTTAAGTGATTTGCCTAATCAAATCGTCACGTTTTAAACAACTGTTTAGCTAACATTAAAACCTGTATGTGCCTAAAACGTAACTAACATGCTATGTGGCTAGGATAGTTACTAACAGCAATAGTGGTGTTGGCTCATGTCAATCTTAGGAAAATATTCTTTGTTTGACCCACTGTGAACGCAACACAAACGCTGGTTGTATGCTAACATGTAAAGGCTGTAAGCTAACTGTCGCTAGCGTTATACTACATCCCACAGGGAGACACACTAGCTAGCTAGCTGCCGTTAATAATAACAATGTATTGACCATGTTGGACAAGAGATAAACGAATAGCCAAGTGAAATTTGTAGAGGTTAATAGAAAACCAACTTAAATGTGTGTTATTTCTAGCTAACGTTATTTGCAGGCGAGTTAGCTTACAGTCATAAGTAACTCTATCCACACAATTACCTTTTGAACAACGCCGGAGAGCGTCAGTTATGAAAGTAGGTTTCACCGCCTCTTGCCCAACATCCGTCAGCTTTAATGCTAAAAACAAAAACGTACTGATATCGTAATGTAAAAGACTGTTCTATAATACATCCATGGAAAAATCATACATAGACAAACTACATGCCACTTCCGTATGCAGTAATGATGTGATGTGACCGTACAAAGAAACAACGAGTCTCAGCATCATAGTGGAGCTATTTCAGAACAGCGACTCTATGTGGAACATGCGCAAAGTACACATCAGGGAAATAATATATGGCAATACAATTGAATATACAATCATGACAATGTGTTGCATCAAAGTTAATCAGTTTAATTGAAATCACCTGTGTTTATGGTGTGTAAACAATGGGTAACAATGGATTGCATTACTTGAATATGACTATTGTAACCCCTTGAGGCAAATGTGTGATTGTGTCGTATAAAAAAAAACCCATATGCAAACAAATATTTCATATAGTTTAAATAACTCATTCACATTACTTGGAAGACATTTTGTTCTCACTTTGACATTAAATGGCTCTCTGATGATTAGCATCATCATTTCGTTAGTTTTTCAGGGTTGTAAAGTAAAACAATAAATCATGAAAACTCTGACAAGTATGAATACTTTTGTAGACACTGCATGTCACAAGGCGAACAGAAAATCAGGCAGACAGTGAACATTTGTTTACAACTTAATGGTTATTTTGTACTTAGTCACAAGTTAGGCGATGCATGTCATCATGGCTGTGGTGACTGTTAGGGGAAAGTGAGAGACGGGGATAGATTGGACGGATTAGTCCAGCAGCGAACGGCCCCAGGCTCAGAAATTGGCACAGTTTCCCCTGAAAAGATGGCAGAGGAATTTACATAATAGGCATTACTCCCTTCACTTTGTATGTAGGTCAGTAGCTGCAGTCAGACAGTCTCTCTGCTCCATCCAGATCAGCAGTCATCTAACAGATAGGCTGCCCTAAGGCAAATAGACTGAAATATACCGTCCCGGGGAAAAAGCTCATCCCTTCAGTGACTTCTAAGAATCTTGTTTGACGAGTCGACTACAGCAATACCAGAGATCAGAAAAAACATCAAAAGAGCAGACTCTGATTCAAGAGCTTTTACATTTTTCACAAGCAACCCATTTGAATGTAATGACTGTAATCCTGCTTTTATATGGCAGATTTGTTCTGGTAAACATGAAGTAGAACTAGGGACTAAGAAACGCTTCTGTGCCAGCAGAGCAGATTTGTTATGTACATTGAATACAAATGTACCATCCCTTTCATGATAGCATATGAATATAATTGAACTACTCAATGTTATACTTGTTGTTGCCTCTTATATCCTCGATGACATACTGGGGGATAACATGCTCAACTATGTGGCTTACCGAAAAAAAAACAAGCTACTCATCGTCTGTCAGACTCATATGCCAAATGTAGTGATACAAATGATAAACACCTTAAATGCAGTTTACTTGGTTGTGAATTTGCATTTAAAAATACATTCTTAACTGAAACATGTCCAGTGCAGACTCAAAGATCAGATCAACATAAATGCTCAATAATCTTGTAAAAGTGTTTCGTCCTCGGTACAGCAACACACACACACACACACACACACACACACACACACACACACACACACACACACACACACACACACACACACACACACACACACACACACACACACACACACACACACACACACACACACACACACACACACACACACACACACACACACACACACACACACACACACACACACACACACACACACACACACACACACACACACACACACACACACACACACACACACACACACAATATTATTGTGTGTAGTGTCACATGGGCAGCTTGCGGACAGGAAGGAGTGGATATACTGTAAATGGGGGCACAGGGGTCATCGGATCATCAATTATTCAGCACCAGCAGACAACAACAATCCCTTGGTATCCAGCAGGAATGGCAACAAGAAAGCCTGCTTCGATTTGAGTCACGATCCATACTGGTTGAATTAGCATTGACTTCATGTTCCTATCATGTTGTGTATTTGTTCAATTGGAACAACAGTAGCATAAAGGGAGAGCACTGACTTTTATGCAAACCAGTACTGCTTTATTTCATTTTCAAGGATGAAACATAAAGACAAGATGACAGTGGCTCAGTAACAGTGTATTCACACCACATAATAACTTCACAGTATTTCAAAAAGAAGACGGAACAAGGACCTACAGTACAGACATACACATGATCAGTGCACAGAATAATGTTTTCTCCCTATTCATGCATCTGAAAAAGTGACATCAAAGTAGGATACATACATTTCTACAACAAAAGAGTCAGCATTATATTAATTAGTCCTATGATTTGAGTACAAATGCTACAAAATACTAAGGGAACATTCTTAAAGACTAGGAATAATCATATATATGAAAGGATCACATATTTGGGAAAACAGTCAAAAAGTCAACGTGCTCCTCAGCTTAACATACAGTACAGCATATACTGGTCTGAACTCTTTACTATCAACAGATGATGCAGACATGATTGATGATTGAATGATTGTTTACATGCAGAGCAATACAGGAGGAAGATACAGGCTACTTATTAAATATAAAATCTGCTCCAGAGTGGTAAAGAAGCATCAGGTTGTTTGACTGTGGATTTACTGTCAAACTAAGCAGTGCTATGCTGTTTGTCTATGAAAAGACCTGAACAACCTTTCCCCAGATTAGTTTGATGCTTTTTTTTGCATGAATTGCTACAAAAAATGATCCTTTCTGATGAAAATGGTAAATGGTAAGAATTGGGAATTTGCAAAAAAAACACTGTCAACTTCTATTAAACTCCCATACTGTTAAACTCCCCCACAAAGAAGCAATGTAATAATGAGTCAACCAGACTCAGAGGATTTGAGGTACATTATAGTCAGTAGAAAACCCACATCATGTGCTAACCCTGTGAAACAGTCCTAAAGTGTAACTGATCATTGTCTTCATAGTAATTGGATCCAAGTAAATCCATGGCAGCTTTCTTTTGATGTAAACTATTGATCAGCTGTTCGGAAATGTATAATGCAAATTAAATTGTAGTGTATATATACACAGTGCATTATTAATCTAGAAGTGTAACATTTGATCACCCTTTTCTATCATGTACAATATGAACCTATCAGCATGATATCAGACCAATAACATCTGGTTTAGTTTGAGCCGTTTTCTCCCATAATCACAAACCATCTTCAAAGTGACGAGTGCAAACGCGACGGCTGAACATGGCAGTTTGGACATACATTGGAGTTCTCTGGTTACAAATACTAAAATCTGGTACTTAAAAATAAAAATTCACATTCTTGAAATGTGTTTTAAAAAATCAGCACCACTCAGGCAAACGAGGTTGAAATATAGGAATGTGTTGTATGAATATATTACTTTCATCTGCACACAAAATAACAGTTTGGATTAGTGTGTTGAATCTGTGTTGAAGTGCTATAACAAAAACCCTCACCATTTGGAGTCAAACTTAAAGTGAAAATGTGATACAATCCTGTTGCATTTGTGTGAACAGTTTTCTAGTGTAAAGTGTAAAAAAAATGTTTTCATGTTTGCTACCTGCTCTTCAACCGAGCCTAAGAAATAACGAAAAAGAAAAACTAAAACCAAAAAATTCAAAAGGAATTCAAAGAGTAGTTGCTCAATGAATTGTTGTAGCAAATCAAATGCTACATAAACTGTGACCCGCCCTCAGTGATCATCAACCTCGGCCTGATTACTGCAATAAAAACAAAAATAAGTTCGATTTTTAGATAAACATTAAAATACTATAATAATAAAACTTAGTATGTGTGCGGTTAATTTGGTCTAGAAAGGTCTGACCTGTCAGCTTATAAAAGGTGAGTAAACTGTATTTTGTAAATCAACGCACTATATCTCAGAGTTTTGTTACTTTATCCAAACAGGTTGGACAGTGGGCGGGTTCGGATGGGGCTGCTGGCGAGCTCCTCCCCCCTCCCCACCTCCCCCGTGTCCCTGAAGGAGGCGCTGTGGATGATCTGGGCGCGGTGGCGTCCGCGGTGCAGCCTTGCGTTCAGCCGGCTCAGAGACGACTTCCTCTGCATCCCCCCCTTGTTCTTCCCGTTCCCGGCCCCCTCCTCCTCAGCAGGTGGGTTCAGGAGCCGCAGTGGGTTCAGATTGCCCTGAAGGACTCTGGGAAACCGCCATCCACGTGTTCCGCTGTTACCTTTGTTAGTGTTTTCATTGTCCGACTCAGCACCCGGTGAGGTCACCACTCCCTCCTGCTGCAGGTCAGCGGCAATGGGCGGGGCCAAGTACTGGATGGCCCGCCTCCCGCTGTAGTCTCGAGCCTCAGGGTCCGCCTCCCAGTCTGACAGCAACACACGGACCACCTGTCAATCACAGCACATTAAATACACACAGAAGAGGGAATATTGCTTCCTATCATACTATTTTTAGGCATATATTATGGGTCTCAGATATATAAAAAACATGTCTATGAACTGTTTTGCTCAAAATACCAAACAGATCTCCCATTCTAGCCATGCCTCATACTCCTCTATTTCAGCCCTGTTACAGAAGTGCTGATTCTGGGTCAGTAGCTTTAAAAAAAAACAAATAACATTTAAAAAAATAATAATAAGGGGGGGGGGGGGGGGGGAGCTTATGCAGGAGAATTCTACCGGAAGATACTCAGCTATATGCTGTCGTGATTAAGCGCCAACAACCACATCAAGGATTATTTCTGAAACAGTATGGAGCTCAAATGCTCTTTCTCTTGCGGGTTTACCACAAGGTGAGTTCCTTTTTCTATTTCCTGCTTTTGTACACATGCTCTCTCCAGTACAGGTTAGCTCTGTGTGTTAGCGATGCTTGCTAATGTAAACAAAGACCATATTACTTCCAAAACACATCTCGCATTGTTTCTGATAGCGACGTTTCTAGTTTTTAGAGATGTGGGTACGGAGGAAAAGAGAGAGGGTTTAGTTTTCCGACCCTTTGCGAGTTCCCTTACACACCGGGACCAAATATGTATGTATATAAAAAGGCATCAAAAAGTGCATTTTGCATGATAGGAGACCTTTAAGATACTGAAATGATGATACTTGGTTTACTGGTGTGTACATCTGTGAAACATATCATATGAAACTCATTGTTAATCAAATATGTCAACATTGGGATAGCTGTCTTCTATTCTATTTCTATTTTTATTTTTCCTTACTTGGTATGGATTGTAGCCATCTACAGAATGTACAACTGGCAGATAGAGCACATACAATCATATGCCGCTTCACTAGAGATGTGTATAACATGACACCCCATGACCCCCACCATGATTCACGCAACCCACCTGTGTATGTCCATGCATGGCTGCCAGGTGTAGTGGTGTGTATCCAGCACTCGATCTCACATTTACATTCACAGGTATTGAATTCTCCTTTGCGAAGGCCAGCAGCTGGGAGAGAAGCTCAGCTTTACCCTGCTTCGCCACCCAGTGGAGGCAGGTGAAGCCCGTCACAAAGTCTCTCTTGGCGACGAGGCTGGGTTCCACAGCCAGAAGGGGCTGCAGGCTCTCCCACAGGCCGTCAGAGGCGCACAGCATCCACTCGTGCTCCAGAGGGTCCAGGGTCACTGAGCCGCAGTCTGACACTGATGAGAGGATCGATGCAGAGTCTCCTTCGCTCTTTATGGAGTCCCGGATGCGTGAACCTCGGCTGATCAGAGACCTCCGCACCTGCAAAGGGAAGACGATAGAAATTAAAGGGTGCATATACTAAATACAATTATTTGTGTCACCTTTAGATATTAATCCTTCAGAGTTGTAACACTGCAGAATGCTTTTTTGTGATATAAAGAAGGCTTTTGGAAACTTTTTTGCCACTATCCAGTTGGCTCTTCACAGGACCTCGAAGGCATTGTAAATACATGTTTTACAACACTTAAAAACATTTAAAGAGCCACATGCTTTATTGTTATTTGTGGAAGCTTTACAAAAGTAAACCATATGGCAGGGTAATGAACAACTCATCACAGTAAAGTATCAAACAGATGTTAGTAGAATACAATACCTTTTTGACCATAAACAAATGTATAGTTACATTTTGTATTATTGCCTCATGATGATCCCAGAAAAGGAGGTCATAGATCAACAAGCGTAAGAGTTAAGGCAAGCTAGATTACATAACCGTCTCTCTCAGTTACATAAGACAGAAAACTGCTGCTGGAGAGTCATACTTCATGAATATTGCATGTCTGGCTACTCACCATATGGTGTTTTCTATCAGCTATAAAAGACTGTGGTTTTGGCAATGCTGCAAATTAAGCAGCGGCAGCAAAGGCAGGGGAACCTGCTCAATGCCATCTCTCTATACCTGGGCACCATTCAGGGTTTGGAGCACACCCAAAGGTGAAACACAGGATGTGACATAGCTGCTTTAGGTGTGTGGCCATACGTGTAATACATTTGAAACAAATGAAAGGAGCATTTCTCTGTTGTATCTCAATATATGTAAGCGTACTTTCTCCCATGCCTAAATTATTAATTGTTTTATCAGCTACCCCCTGTAGAGAGCTTTGTCAAGCTGCCACACTTAAATTATGACTTATAATAACAATCTACAGGGAAGCTTTCTTCATGCTAGAAAAATAGTTTCCTACCTGAGGAGAACTGCTCATCATCAGCTCTATGAAGTTCCGGCGACTCCCCTTGGGTGTGTTGATATCTCCAACAGGGTCCAGCCCTTCCAAGGTGCTGTCTTCAGAGAGGCAGCTGGTCAGCAGGGCCCGTGTGGACCCTCTGGACACCCTACGTGCCCCTCTCACATGCTGGCTATGGGACCCCCCATGGTGAGCCAGGTCCAGATCTGCAATCCCAATGACTGGAGCGGACTCCCGCCTCCTCCTGTCCCTCAGCTTCACCTCCCCTCCTCCACCAAAGGTAGGAGTCGATGTGTTGGTCTTAATATTCTGGGAGGGGGCTGCATGTAGCCCCTTGCCATTTGATTGTTTGTCATTGTCCAGGCTGGCAGCCAATGAAGTGGATGCTCCTGTGGAAACATTGGACATTTGTCATTATCATCTGGCTCTGTGTGTTCAAGTTGCCACAAGCAGTTATTGTAGAATTGTGTTTGTTGTCATAAAGGTGTCAACATTAAAGGAAATAATTTGTCTACAAAATACTATAGTGGGTAATTTAGAGGGCCAATGCCAGACAATACAATCAAAGCAAATACATAAATAAATAGACACAGTGTTGGTTCGATAAACAAACAAAGGATTTTAAATATAGTTGTGATATTGAAACAATACCATAGATTTTAAAAGGACATGGTGCCTAAGCCTTTTTTGTCATTTGTCATTATCATCAAGCTCTGTGTGTTAAGAGTTTTCTATGGCCACATCTTAACTGCATTCACTCTAAATCAAACTTCCCATTTAAACCCTACAGGCTATTCTTGTAAACTTTTTAATTTGTCAATAGAATGTCAGAATTGAAGGATCTAATCATTTGATTTTGATGATTTCAGTCTTAGTTAGTAGTGGGTTGTTCAGAGAGCCAACGCCAGACAATACAATCTAAGCATACACATACATAAATAAATAAATAAATAGACACACTGTTGGTACGATAAATAAACATAGGATTTTGAATATACAGGTGCTATTTAAACAAATGAATCATGGACACAAATAATACCATAGATTAGAATACGATAAGGTGCCTATCCCTCACCTGTTTGGTCTCTGTTGTCAGGGTTCCCGTTGACATAGTTGTTGTCCAATGCCTCACGGATATTCCCGTTGCACTCCGCGTGATCGTGGCCGCCTGTGTCCGCACACATCACGGACTCCGCGCTGCCTTCAGGGTTCAAACAAACAAATTGCACACCGTCTTCCACTTTCACAACCCCCACGCTGTCCATGATGCGTTTCAGCACCTCTCGATCCACCTCTTCCTCTGACTGGTCATTTTGACCCGACGCTGATAGGAAATGATCGATCAGCTCCATCTGTTCGACCCTCCCTCCTCTCTCCATCAGGAACTCCTGCACGGCTTGCTCTGTGCGCTGGGACGCCATCATCCTCCTGGACGACCCGACCAGAGCAGTGCAAAGATAGAGTAACTGAATAAGTTACTCACAGACGTTTAAAAAACAATGCATGTTCACGCTACTGTCATTCACTCAGGCTGACGGTGACGACGGATGACAGCATCTTCTTCTTATTCTCCTCTCCTCCACGGGGAGTGTCGAGCCATGGCAGATAGGGGTCGCACGTAGCTGAAGCAAAAACACCAAGGCAAAACGGATGCTGTGTTCATGTGCAGCTCGTTAATTCCGGCTTCCAATACTAGCATAAGCGAACATGTAATGAAAGTTGTAATTTTTGGAATATGCAGTTTGATTGAGCTGTGTTGGCAAGACAAAGAAGTGGAAGTATAAGAAGGACCCGTTTCGGATGACATACTGACTATTGATTAGACCTAGATTATGTACTTTACTAGAGTAGGCTTATTTTAATTTTATGCCACTTTCTACTTCTACTCAACTACATTTTAGACGGAGGTATTGTAATTTTGTACACAACTATATCTATCTGACAGTTTTCGTTACTAGAAGTTTTACAAATGCAGTAGCCTACAGTACAAGAGTTTAACATTTTCAATTAACCTTCCATAGAATGTGTAGGCCTACAAGTGATGCGGACATGATGGGTTGCATACAAACAAACACGATGTTGATAGTTAAAGTAATTTGATGTGCTTTTGAAAAAGGTGCAGGTAAATTCTCTAAGGTCAAACCTAATATCTAAAACCTAGGTATCAACATCTAAATAGTAGTGGTTGCATGAGGTTGTTGCGTTGACATTGGCTTTACGATTTATCTGATGGTCCCCACATGCCATCGAAGATGCTGGGGAAATCCAGTTGCGCTGTACCATTATAGAAAAAAGGGGTGGGTGGGTGTAAACTGCTTTCAATTAACATTGTTTGGCATTTTTTTCTTACCGTTTACGTGGATTTATATATTTATATGGGCAGAGTGTTTATTTATTTTTTACATGTTGCCATCATTTATAGACATTTAGCTTTTAAACAAATGAACAGACTATAGTTTTAACCTCATTCCTATCGTGTTTTCAGTAGTGGAGTCTGCTCAGTTGTCGACGACGGTAGACGCAGTGAGGCGGTCCTGATAAGTGTACCAACAAATAAGTCTGTCTTTAGTTAGCTTTGTTGTATTATTTCATAATTTATCAGGGTTACCAACTACTGGGTAGAGTTGTAATGGCTTCATCGGATGTTGCTCGGATGCCGGTTAGTATTTTTCTTCCTTTTGGTTGGTTGTCGGTGCTCTTGACAGTTTCGTAGGGAGTGTCCGGGGCTATCATTAAGTTAGCTCCCGCTAGCCCGATACCTACACGGCTGTTCCAAGTGGCCGATTCACAATAAAGAACCGCACATTTGTAATTCACGTCCACCAACAACCAGAACATCAGGCTTGGTTTTTTTAAATTTAATTATGTAACTTTTCTAAGGGGTTCCGTGTTGCTTCCTTCAACAAATTGCACCGCTGATGACGCTATGTTGCTAACACTACTCTAGCTTCCCCACAGGGAAAAGTTGATGAACATAGTTGTTAGCAGCTCGGTTAAACATTCCTGTGGTAGGCTACTGTTAATATCGCACCATTGGGGCGCTAAAGCGTTTAGTCATGTTTTAATGGAAGAGTTAAGTGTATGTAGTAAGACTTATGCTATGTTGCTCGATAATAGCCACTTAATCTCGTATTTGTTTGACTGGAATTACGTAAATAAACATGCTGTCGATACTTCGGTTGTTCGAAAGTGTGGTGTGGTCAACACCACTTTCGAACAACCGAAGTATCGACAGCATATATAGTTATCAAAAGTCGGAAGTTTTATAATAGGGAACTGTTTTAACGTTACATTGTAACTACTTTTACCACATTATAACTAGGCCAGTGTTACAGCCCTATGCTTAACCGACTAGTTAAGCCTGGCTCAGGTCAGAGGAGGTCGACGCAGTTTGAGGAAGATGTGGGTGAGAAGAGAGGCGGTCTCTGGGTTTACACTGGAGATACTTGGAGCTTAAAGCTAATGAACAACCCCTCCTGAACCCTTTTTATTTTATGTTTAAGATTCCCATATTATCTGCCCAAATAAATCACCATTGTGTTTGTTTACATTACATTCTAAACAAAGTATTCAGGAATGCACTGCAGCTACCACTGTTTTTCTGCTGTTCTGTGATCTTGTTCGTGTGTAGCTCTTAGGACCAAGCTACAACTCCAATTCGTTGTGTAACCCTGCTGAATTGATCATTCAATCATTAAACAAAATAGTCTCTAAACGTTTAGAAGATGTATTTACATTAGTTGCCTAGAACAATTCATATGTATTGCGTGCTAAAATGGTAAGATATTGAACAATCAACCTACAAATGGATTATTTGGTGATTTCATTTGAATGATCTTTCATTAGGGCATTTCCAAATGTATATTACCTATAATGTGGTATGGATAGGTGAAGACATATTGCTAGAATCTGCATTATTGTGCTTCCCTCCAACCAACATTCTAAATTATGAAGCTGATGAACTACGTCTTGCAAATGATCAGTGCCTAAAGTTGCACTTCCCTGGGTCATTATTTTGTTCCTTTTTTGAGGGGGAAAATGGCTGCAGTATCTTGACATTAATCTGCCTATTTGTGTAATTTCTTCTTCAGGAGAAAGCAGTCCGGCCCCTGGGCCTGGCTGGCCATGTGGGCTTTGACAGCCTCCCAGACCAGCTTGTCAACAAGTCTATCTGCCAGGGCTTCTGCTTCAATATTCTCTGCATCGGTACGTTGTCATGCACACACAATTACTAAAAACAATACACACACCTTCATTGTAAAAACTGGCAGACAATAAGATTTTTAGGAACATTTAATTGAAAGCAGTTTATTTGAAGTCAAAGTGCTATCACACACTAGTAAATTAGATCTCAACCACAAAGATGAATAACAAAAAATGGCGTCTTATCTTTTCTTGCTCTAGGTGAAACCGGCATCGGGAAGTCTACCCTGATGGATACTCTATTCAACACGAACTTTGAGAACTTTGAGTCGTCCCACTTTGAGCCTCAAGTGAAGCTGCGGGCCCAAACCTACGACCTGCAGGAGAGTAATGTCCGGCTACGCCTCACTGTGGTCAACACTGTGGGCTTCGGGGACCAGATGAATAAACAGGAGAGGTGGGAGGAGGAGTGTGTGCGAGAGGAATACTGACAGACGCTCAAAGGGTTCAATAGTTTTCAGTTAACCCACATTTCTGATCTACCTTTAATGTCTCCCTGTAGCTATCAGCCGGTGGTGGACTACATCGACAAGCAGTTTGAGAGTTATCTTCAGGAGGAGCTTAAAATCAAACGCTCTCTCCACAACTACCACGACTCGCGTGTCCACGCTTGCCTCTACTTTATCTCCCCCTCGGGTCATTCACTCAAATCTCTGGACCTGGTCACCATGAAGAAGCTCGACAGCAAGGTAGGAGAAGGATCACTGTGTGTGTTTGGAAGGGTCAGACATGGCCATAATTACAGTATACCAAGGCATTGAGAAATCCAGCTGGCACGATTTTGCACATTGCCATACATACAGACATTTTTCTTAGATGTTGTATTTTTGTTTAGTGCCTCAAACACTTGACCGGGGTCAGCCTCTTCCGGGTAGAATCAGCAGCTGAGCTCAGAGACGGCATCAAAACTCTGTGCTAAATTGCTCATATTATTATACAATTATGCTATGTGGCACACCTTTTTTTTAATAACTGATATGTAATTAATACATTTTACATAAACATTTAAATAGCTTTTCAATAGTTTCTGCTAATACTACCATGAAAATATTCATTCAACATTGGGGGTGGACAAATTCCAATAAAGAAAGGTGTGTCCAACTTGTTATGTGTAGTAATGTAATGCTGCATTGATCTGGAGTCATTGGGTCATATGACATAATAGCTATTAAAAACCATTACAACTTTTAAGGAAAAATTGCTGATTTTCCCATTAAAAATATTAACATAAGTATGAAGTACTAAAATCAAATAAAAAGAGGTGTGTCTTATTTATTTAGTCAAGCAATTATATAGGCAATGGATTTTAAGTCACATGGTCACATAACATGGAAGCTATTAAATAAACAGACAAACTAAAATAAAGTCACACATCAATAATACAAATATGTGCCATATAGGATACATTTATTATTCAGCATCATTTTCATAATTATGAGGAAGTTGGCACAGGGATATTTTAATTAGATTAGTTTTGGGTCACTCAAAAGGTAACTTGTTGTTGTTTAAGAGCGAGGGCTTCTTCTGCCTGTCTTTGAAACTGAGACAGAAGACCAAAGTAAATGTCTGCCAAAAATCCAAACTATAACTAAGTGACTCCTCTGAGTTTTTTCTCAGTACTCCATCATCTCCGACGATGTGAAAAAACTAGATCCCGCCCAACAAACTAGTAGGGGTGATGGATTTTTTTCAAGAGATAAATGCAGGTTTAAGAGGAGGGTACATTGATCTGAAATGTGCCTGCATTTAATGGACTGACTCCAGTGGACATCGACATTTTAAAATGGACTTGTCAATTCGCTCTGCTGCCATCGACCCCCCCCCTTAATTGCACATTGTTTAGGAGAGATGTCAATATAAAACGTAAATAAACACGCTGTCGATACTTCGGTTGTTCGAAAGTTTGGTGTTGACCCTATAGAGTTATCAAAAGTCGGAAGTTTTATAATAGGGAATTGTTTTAACGTTACATTGTAACTACTTTTACCACATTATAACTAGGCCAGTGTTACAGCCCTATGCTTAACCGACTAGTTAAGCCTGGCTCAGGTCAGAGGAGGTCGACGCAGTTTGAGGAAGATGTGGGTGAGAAGAGAGGCGGTCTCTGGGTTTACACTGGAGATACTTGGAGCTTAAAGCTAATGAACAACCCCTCCTGAACCCTTTTTATTTTATGTTTAAGATTCCCATATTATCTGCCCAAATAAATCACCATTGTGTTTGTTTACATTAAATTCTAAACAAGTATTCAGGAATGCACTGCAGCTACCACTGTTTTTCTGCTGTTCTGTGATCTTGTTCGTGTGTAGCTCTTAGGACCAAGCTACAACTCCAATTCGTTGTGTAACCCTGCTGAATTGATCATTCAATCATTAAGGCGAGACACCCCAGGTGAATAGGGTACTTTTTTTTAACTTAAAGGTATCAGCTAGAAATTTCTCCAGTTAATTACTTACAATAAGGCAATTGTTTTTTGTATTACAAGTTTCTGAAATAGCATGTTTAAATATGCAAATTATCCATTATCTCATGAAATATGCACATATTTTAACACATTTCAGGAATCGAAATCTGAACTTTGGATATAGCCAGATTCAAAATTCTTGTTTCATTTTGTAGTCATATTAGTATCTAAGGCTTTTACAGAAGGGATATTGGATATCTCTTTTTATCATTCCATAAATCAGAAAATACTGTCAACAGCCCTAAAATATCAATTTTCGCCATGTTTTTAGGTATACAATGTTGTATAATTCAGGCTATGAATTATATATGAACAAACCCTTCTGTAAAAGCCTTCATAATATTGATAGGAATATAACTGGAAGGTTTGGTGTATGTACGTGCTACTGAAGTTGACATTTCGAACTCAGAGTAGGAGAAAAAACTCATTTTGAGAAAACGACCTTTAAAGATTGCAGTGAGGCGCTAGCTAAACCCTCCTGTTCTTTGGATGACAGCTTGCGCATCGACGCACTCCGTGAAGGTATTTCATGTTCAGGGTCATTTTTTTTTTTATAACCTTGCTTCGTGCAAGTGACAATTGTTGGCGTCTTCTCTGTGAACGATTTTTTCGCCGTTCTTTTGGCATTTTGAGATTTCATTTTCTAGCTGAAAGCTAACCAGGAAGGGTTTTAGCACACCACGTGACGCATCTGAACGAATCACGTTGTCAGAAATTGACACCAGCCAATGAGATTTCGTTTCTTGGTTTAAGACCCCTTTGTGCTTTCACGATTGGTTGCTGATACAAAGGAAATTACCATATTTGGATCTGATGAGATTGTGCAGGAGAGACACAGCTTTCCAGCGATACCTCTGTTGACATGGTGCACACAGCGGTCGTGGTACTTTATGTTACGTTGGAATGCTAACTTTTGGTAAATTTAGGAGAAATCTACAGACGCAAATAGACAAACTATAGTCAAATAAACACTTAAATGTGTATTTTGTACGTTTTCCTTCCAAAAGCCTGAAAGAAAACATGTTATGGAATCAAAATAGCACAAAATCTCAAAATTGACCAGTACTCGAAAAACGATGTTTTTGCCTGCCGTGTCTCGCCTTAAACAAAATAGTCTCTAAACGTTTAGAAGATGTATTTACATTAGTTGCCTGTCTGTAAAACTGAGACAGAAGACCAAAGTAAATGTCTGCCAAAAACTATAACTAAGTGACCCCTCTGAGTTTTTTCTCAGTACTCCATCATCGCTGACGATGTGAAAAAACTAGATCCAGCCCAACAAACTAGTAGGGGTGATGGATTTCTTTCAAGAGATAAATGCAGGTTTAACTGGAGAGAGGAGGGTACATTGATCTGAAATGTGCCTGCATTTAATGGACTGACTCCAGTGGACATCGACATTTTAAAGGAGACATGTCATGGCCATTTCCACTGATCATAATTCCATTGTTGAGGTCTACTAGAATAGATCTATATTGTGCAATGTTCCAAACTCACATTGGTTTCTCAAACAGCATCTCTAACTGCGTGTATTCACTGAATTTCACTCTCTGCCTTTAACGGCTGGTTGTAGCTCCAATAGCTCCAGCCCCACCCTCCCTGTGAGCACAGTGTGCTCTGATTGGTCGGGACGTTGTGAATCGCGCTAAGCTCCGTGGAGGTGTGGTTTCCTTGTTTAGCGATACACAGCCAAACTCACCCTGAGCACACACAAAGTCACAGCCGAAGTAAAAACAATAAGTGTGGCTTGATATTGAGTAAGAAAGAGGTTGATAAACGCTGTGAGAATGGGTCTGCAGAGAGAATCCCAACTGTCTGTTATCAGCCTGCAGCCAGGGAGGAGAAATCAGCAGAGCTGCCTGCACTGAGTGAGTGTGTGAGGAAGTCCGTGGATTGGTCAATTTGGACCAATCAGCCTGGTCATAGCTCTGGGAGTGTCCAGGAAGAACATGAGAAATCTCCAACGAGGCGTTTTGGGGAGCGTTTTATTCCCTACAGGGTGTACTTTGAGGGGTTTTGACTCTGCAGACCGTTTACATGCATAAAAACCTTCACAACACACAAGGGGACGGGTAATAATCGGAAAAGCATGACATGGGACCTTTAAAATTGACTTGTCAATTTACTCTGCTGCCATAGACCCCCCCCCCCCCCCCCCCTTAATTGCACATTGTGTAGGAGAGATGTCAATATAAAAGTAAAGACCTGTATCAGGGACCGTGCTGTGGTTGTTTCTAGACTTTCCTCCAAATGTTTTTTTGGTAGAGCTTCACTATCCAACAGACTAAACCCTGAAGTCCCTTCCCTCTTGAAGTGGTCCGAAACTTTCCCATGCTCCCTGTGTGTCGTGACTTTGTGTTTTTTGTGCGCGTGTGTGTTTTCACTGCTCTGGAGTGTCAGTAACCCTGGATTTGCATGTGAATGAAGGAGAAAAAGCAGTGGAATGCTGTAATCACCACACACACACACACACACACACACACACACACACACACACACACACACACACACACACACACACACACTCCAGTTATCCCTTTGTGTCACTGTACAGATACACACAGAAAGAGCCATTTATTGAATGTGCAGCACTGACAGAGAGACAGTCACTCACTCAGACGGCTAAAGGAAAATATCTCCTAGCATTGTTTTGCTTTCTGTGGGTTTGGGGGGGGGGGGGTCTGGCGCAGAAGCTTGTCTCATGATAACCCAGCCTCTCTTTGGTACGACGAGACGACGGACAGGCAGGAGAGGAATGTGGGACGACTTGGACACAGAGTGGGCTGCGGGGCCAGAAATAACATCAGTGACCTCGGTTTATATAACGCATATCCAAAAGCTTTAAACATCTCGATAAAGTCATTAAAAGCAAAACAGTTGGAATAGTTTTTGTTGAATTTATTATTGTATGTACCTTGCGAGAACCAGATTAATGGATGCCTTTGTATCCACCTAGTTTCATTCTTTCTTTATCACAACAACTTCATAAAAAATGTCATCGTATGTCCTGGCACAATGTTATCAGTGGTTTTCAAGAAGTCATTATTACAAAAATATGTTCTATTAAAGGTGTGTTTTGTTCTCTGAATTCTGCGGACTGCTACCATGTACATGAATATGTTCCCCCTCTGCTGCAGGTGAACATCATCCCAGTGATCGCTAAAGCCGACACCATCAGTAAGAGCGAGCTGCACAAGTTCAAGATCAAAATCATGAGCGAGCTGGTCAGCAACGGGGTCCAAATATACCAGTTCCCCCTCGACGACGAGACCGTCGCTAAGGTCAACACTACAATGAATGTAAGAAAAGCACATGTTAGCACATATTACACCTCATTAGCTGGGGTCCTTTCCTTATACGGGTTATTGCGAGATAATAACCAAGTATATAAATGTGCTCCTAATTACAATTGGCCTTTTACTTTAAACTGTTGTACCTATTGTCGGTTCAGTTTTTGCAGAAGTATTATCGATCGAGCCTTGCTATTCGCCTGCTTGCAGTTTGTTTAAACGTATAATAAAATCAACTTTTTTTCAGGGTCTTTTGCCTTTTGCGGTAGTGGGCAGCACCGAGGAGGTCAGCGTGGGCAACAAGATGGTGAAGGCTCGTCAGTATCCCTGGGGAGTGGTTCAAGGTGAGATGGATCATTGTTTGTTTCTTTGTCTGACACCTGTCTTTGTTTTGATGAAGCTCTTGCCGTTCATTTTAGCAATGGTTGAATTGAAATCTGTTTGTAGACCTGCATTTGTTTCCCTTCCACAAACACCCTTATCCCATGTAGAAATAAGTATTTCAGGCTCAATACAATAAGCACGTAAAGAACTAACATTACAGTCAATATAGTGGATTGTCTTATCTAGGTCTTTTTCAAAGGATTCTCAAAACACTGTTGAATATCAGCCGGATGTCTAATACTTATACGTGTCGGTGTGTGTCAGTGGAGAATGAGAGTCACTGTGACTTTGTGAAGCTGAGGGAGATGCTCATCTGCGTCAACATGGAGGACCTGAGGGAGCAGACACACACTCGACATTACGAGCTGTACAGACGCTGCAAACTTGAAGAAATGGGATTCCAAGATACCAACCCAGAGTGCAAACCCGTCAGGTGAGTTCACAAACACCTGCGGAGACACAGTACAACCAAATGAACCACTGACAACTGACTGTGTGGCTGTGTGTGTGTGTGTGTGTGTGTGTGTGTGTGTGTGTGTGTGTGTGTGTGTGGTGTGTGTGTGTGTGTGTGTGTGTGTGTGTGTGTGTGTGTGTGTGTGTGAGCAGCTTGCAGCAGACCTACGAGGCCAAGCGGCAGGAGTTCCTGGTGGAGCTGCAGAAGAGAGAAGACGAGATGAGGCAGATGTTCGTGCAGAGGGTGAAGGAGAAGGAGTCTGAGCTGAAGGACGCTGAGAGAGAGGTACACAGATACTCTTTATAACCTTGGAGTATGGGGACTTAATTTCAAAGCAGTCCAGGAATGTCAGACAAGACAAGTTGGCTTAGTTACACTTATTTGTTGGACAGAACAATGCTGTATGGTTAAAGTACTGTCTTTCAAACCTCGGAAGTTACTTTATTTTCCTTCTTAGAAGCGTTAATTTTTTGTGTAGTCATTACTTTTTTAAATAATTAAATGCATATCTTATTTTTCTTTAAAAAATATTGGGGAAACAAATACCATGAATGTTTCACGATATTAATTCTTCTACTGGATAAAAGCAAAGGAATTGCATTCCAGCCAAAGTAAATCTTTGTACAGTTCACATCTAATTTGTTGAAGTGTGAGAGACCTCATTATGAGGAAAACAACTTGTTGCATCATTTCTATTTGCTAATTTAATAAGGAGATCTAATGAGTTTGCTTGTTCTATTTGGTACCATCAACAATGGAGGCATCTCTGTAACTGGGCCTGTTCTCTGTGTTTCAGCTGCAAAGTCGCTTTGAGCAGCTGAAGCGTCTCCATGCCGACGAGAAAGCGACTCTGGAGGACAAGAGGAGGAACCTGGACGACGACCTGAGCTCCTTCGGGAAGAGACGAGCGGCCGCCCAGCTGCTGCAGGCCCAGAGCCTCACCGCCAACGGCAAGAAGGACAAGGACCGCAAGAAGTAAGAGGCCTCTCTTATCTGTAGGCAGTGAGGGTAAATATACTTTCTTCAGTCACCTGCTAGTGGAATGAATGTGAGGCAGCCCATCTGTTGTCTACTGCTGTTGACTGAGTGGATTTAAGGTCGAAATGATGTCTTTTCTTTTGGGTTGATCCCCCTGAATGAACCTCTCGTATTTGTTTGTAGTTCAAATGCTTAAAGTGCAAAACAGGCATTTTTTGAAGACATTAAACTGGCTTACAGATTTATTAAATATTGTAAAATAGATTCTCATCACCCTGCAATTTTTTTTCCTCTTCCAGCTCTGGCTTCATGTGAACACATCGGGATCTGAAGTACACTCCAGTATAACCAGTGACACGCTGGCCACCATCTTTCCTGCCCTTTGTGGCCAGTCTCAAACACTAACCATGCAGGACCCCCCTCCCACACACACACACACACACACACACACACACACACACACATACATACATACATACATACATACACACACCAGCAGTGTGTGCAGGTTTCTGCCAAAGTGTAATGACTGTACCCATGAATCCTGTGTACACTTTCTTAAATGGTATTTTTAATCTTCTTTGTGGGTTTTATACCTCTGTGTAATATTTTATATTTATCCTTTTGTACACATATACAACTGTTATTTTCCATATACCTCCCTTACCTTTGATGTTGTACTTGTGCCCTGAATGAGGGACTCTTTACACAGCCTCCTCCCCTAATGCTGTACATTGATCAAAGGAATTACCAACATTATATTGAAAGGGACCTCTTCACAAACATTTAATCTGTTTTGTATTGCAGTCAGCTAATGAGAAAGACATCTGTCACATGCTTCTTATTTATTATTAAGCCCCTTTCTGACATACATATCATTAGGACATTTGAGTCCATACGTCTAGATAAATGCCACTCTCTTTGCCATGAGAGTGTATCAGGTCATCAGTAAAGAGAGATAAACAATCACTTAATTATTTCTGCAGCTCACAGCTGTTCTCCAGCAGTGAAGTGTGAGTAATAGTCCTGTCATGTTTAAAAAGAGCCGTCAGTGAATAATTACACCACTGAGACCTATATTCAACAGATTTGTAGCTAAATCCAGCACGGCACCAGAATCCGTGTCTGAAAGGGCTTTAAGTGATCTTTCTCAAAGCTGTTTGAATGCATTCATCATCAGGGGCGCGGGGGGGCATTATAACTCCTTATCCTTTTCCTGTATTATATCCGAGTGTTTTTCTCACATCTCCTTTATGCTCAAACCATGAACACACCAGCGTCACAGAACCCTGCAGGAGCAACAGTGTTGGTCCAATCCCAGTTTTCTAGTCTGAGGCTTGGTTTTGTATTAGGTACATGTTACAGCATATATTTATATACATTGTTTTATTTTGCTCCCATATTTTCTTACTGACACAAACAGTCGAAGTTTGCAATGCAGTCTGCCTGAAAAGAGAGACTCATGAGGAAATGCTTTACGCGGAGTCAGTGTTTGTTGACGGGAAGATGCATTTGTGACTATTTTTTATAATGAGACAGGGTTTCACACTTCAAAGCATTTGTTCAGTACAGAGTAAACCACAACAAGTGTGATTTATAAACCAACATTTACTCACAAACATTGCCACTTTATATATTTACACTAGTGCTTGATGTTAGTGCCTTATCTGTGTGAAGCTTACTTACACTTAACTCGTACATCCAGGGAAACACCGATTCCTAACAGAGTAAATCTTGTTTAAGACACATTTGTACTACGCTTATATTTATGGAATAAACAGTGTTATTTGGGAGCTTTCTTCTTTTAAATAAATCCTTGTATTTTTGTCATGATTCACTCTGCTTGTTTGTTTTCATCACACAGAATGACGGTTACAATGTTTTGACAAAGTGTGTATATATTGTTTTTGAGGACGGTTCATCACAACTATCTTACTTTTGGTATAAAACGGTATTCAGCAAATTACTTGAAATACTCTCCATGTTTTGCTTTCCCTTCTACCACTCACGGTGGAGGAGGTTGTGATGCTTTACTAGTAAAACTATCAATACCAGAATATAAAGGGTTAACTGCTCTGTATTTAGCTACTTTTCAACAAATGTAGTAAGACTACAAATGCATTGATGCAATATGCACATTTTTAAAGATTTCACTTTCTCCAGAGGTGGGAAGTAACTAAGTACATTTACTCAAGTACTGTACTTAATTACAATTTTGAGTTACTTATACTTTACTGGAGAATTTGCATTTTATGTTACTTTGTGCTTATACTCCACTACAATTCAGAGGTAAATCGTGTACTTTTACTCATCTACATGTATTTAATACCTTCAGTTACTTTACAGATTTTGATTAATAATGTGAAATATTATTAACACTTAAATCAGACTTTAGTTACACCTGGAGTAAATCCACAAACTACCCTGCAGAATACCAAGTCATTAAAACTAGCTGCTCCTTTACCAGCTTTGAGAACACTTTAATGCATACATAATTATAATCAAAACATATATACTATTCTGAAATGGACCCAACTGCATAATGAGTACTTTCACTTTTGGTTATCCAAGTATATTTTGATGCTAATTATTTGTATACTTTTACTAGAGTAACCTTTAGAATGCAGGACATTTACTTGTTACAGAGTATTCCTACACTCTGGTACTTTTACTCAAGTGCAAGATCTGAGTACCTCTCACCTTTTCTCACAAAACACCACTTACAAAACATCAAACTTCAGTGCAGACAGAGAATTATTTGTTACAGTGTCTTGGACTCCTGACGTTGGATAACAGAGGTTCCATCACACTGCAACGCTTCAGAATTTCTACTACACATTTCTGGTAATGAAAGGGTGTTATTTTTCCTTCAGGGTATTGATGAATTGAAATGTATCATATCTCTCTACCTGCAGCCATGCAGGACATTGACGGTCTGATCAGAATATTTTTACAGTAGTTCCAGTTTTGAGAGCACAGCACTATGAATGATTTTCTATGATGTATATGATATTGAGATAGTATAGTAATCATGACTTACAGGATACAAATATCCTCTCAGTGGCAGGAATAGGCTTCCATTCCTCCCCTTTATCAGGGGTAAGAGGACAGAGGATGATCTCAAGCTTCTCTCTCACTCTAAAGGAAGATCCAGGAGACAGCTGAACATCTTCCTGCCAAACATTCGGATGTATTTGAACCCACACCATGGAGCTCCGCATCTCCTGGTAGAGGTCTCGTTTCCTGCAGTGTCTTACCCTCCAGCTCTTTGCCCTTCATGTGACTCCCAGCTGGCATGCAGACAGGTAGACAGACAGGTAGACAGACAGCTCCTGCGTAAAGCTGATCGATTCTCTGCAGGGGCCCGCAGCCCCGCGCTGGGACGGGGTGAGAGGAGGACGCCCTGAGAAGCATTGATTTGGGTCACATGATGAAAGCTATTGAAAATAAATGAGACTTTTCAAGAAAAATATGCTGTGGTGATCTAATGCTGCAATGCATGGAAATACTGAGTCACATTACATGTAAGCTATTCAAAAATAATCAAGACCTTTCAATGAAAAAACAACAGCTGAATTTAAAAACAATATTTGTAAATAATTAAAAAAATAACTTCATCTAATAAAAAAAGTTGTATGATATTGTATAAGTGTAAAAACACAATCCGGCATTGATTTGGAGTCATTAAAGGTCCCCGATTATACTGTTTTTCATCAATATATTATAGGTCTCAGATACAAAACATGTCTGAAGTGTTAGGTTCCAAATACCAAACAGATCATGCATTGTAGCATCCCATAAACCCCTCTGTTTCAGCCCTGTTTCAAAAGTGTTGATTCTCTGTCTGTTACTTTAGATGAAAATAAGGAGCCCCTCGGAGAGATATTTGGTTAAAAAAAACCAAGATGGTGCTCTAGGAGGAGATTCAGGTGATAAAGTGGCTTACACAAGCTAACAAATCCTTATGACATCATAAAGTGGTCAAAATCTGAGGGGACACATGTTGCTTTAGGTGACCTCTAAGCCAAATTCAAGCTTTTAAAAACGTCAAATTTTACATTTTAGAAACTGTTAATTTGGTCATTACATGTAAAAAGAGGCGTGTCTCCTTTATCCAGTGTAGTAAAAATTATGCTATACATTTGTAGTCACTGGATCACATGAAACGGAAGCTATGTATGTGAAGGTTAGCATGGAGGTATTGGAAACAGCATTGGTTTTGTGTCTGGTTTATTGATGGTTCCTAAATGAAACCCTGTGGTTAAGATGGAGAGCTCTGATGTAACCATCCTCTGGCAGCCTGGGAAACTGAGGAAGAAGACCAGAGTGGATGTCTGTCTCCTATCCAACCTGAAACTAGCTTTACCGCAGACCAAGAGGGCTGTCATATCCCTGCACTCACACACACTGACTGACACGTGCACACACTGACACGCACACACACACACGCACACATACCCTTGTCACCTTTTGCTAGTCACTCTAAATGCAAATGGAGCTGATCATTGGAGACAGGCCCTGCTGCTGAAGAGATGAGGTTGTCATTTAAGGGGAGTGGTGGCGACGTTGTGAAATTACCAATTACACACCTCGTCCATGCCAGTGTTGGCTTGAGAACACAAGAGAGACAGAGGGAGAGAAGGAGGGGAGAAGATGGAGGCATGATGAAAAGAGTGAAAGTGTCAGCTTTATTTCTAAAACATACTCTACTAGCTGGTGATAATAATGACAGTAAAACACTTCATCAGACCGCCCTACCTGGAGCGTAGCTCAGAAGGCTTCATAAGCTCATAATGAGCACATTGTGAGTGCAGATAATTATAATTAGAGCAGGATATAATATGATTCTCAGGATTAATCCTCCAAAGGGCAACACTAAAATCCTAATGGGCTGTACAGGTAATGTGTTCGTTCTGCATCAGAGTACACACGCGGGTTTAGCTTCCTATCACTGCTGGTGTTATCTCCATTATAAAGCTGCAGGTGGATGCAAGAGAAGACACAGACAATCTGCTTTAAAACAAAGGCATTTATTGCGAAAAATGCACTTGACATGAAAAAACAATCAAATCAACCACGGGTCATCGGTACAAGACGATGTATAATGATCACATGGTAGAGCGCGGCATGGCCAGCGCAGAGCATGACTTCAATGGCACAAAAGGCCTATAAATATTCTGCACAATATAGAATAATATATATACTTTATTTTTTCCTGTTTCCCCTCGCTGTACCGCCGTTTTAAACCGATCTTAGTCATGATGAGGCGTGAGCGTCAACGCCACACCAAACTTTTTTTTTAATAAAGTTCCTTTTTTATGTAAAGAGCTACATACAGAGGCCCCCTCCCCTCGCGCACACACACAAACAGACACTCACACACACAAGTATCCATAGGAACAATTATGGCCGACATCTAATTCAAGATGGCAGGGTGAGTGCTCAGGCTTCCTGGAAGGACAAAAACAGGAAATGCACAGTATTTCGATATCAAATCCGATAAAAAATGTATGAGAAATGTTTTGTTTTGTGTTCATGCCCAATGGAAATGACCACTGCTGTTTACAATTTCTACAAGGCGCCACCGTAGATTCTCGAGTGGTATTTACAACCAGGAGCTTTAGGCGAAAGACTAGCTCACATCACACAATTGTGAAACCATAAGTTAAAGATATAAGATGTAAAACAACTACTGTGGTTTAACTTCCTGATGTTTTGACTGTTGTAAACTGTTTTCCTTCTCACAGCATCAACCTCGTGAAAACAAAATAAGACCTTATTGAGGACTTGTGCTTGAGTGAGACCCAGTAAAATGTGTGTCTTCTGTTCAGCGGCATAAAAAAAGGATAAGGTAAACCTTGCTCAGGGTATGTGCAGAGCTGTTCTTGGATCTGCTAGTTTTTGTCACCAAGTGAAACAAAGCTAATTGTACTGATAAGAAGAAAGTAAGAACAAGTGAAAAGATTGGTCTGCTTGGTGTGAAACTCTGTGAGTGTGTGTGTTGGCATTTGTAGGCACTAGGATTTGACTGGCAGCTTTAAAGTCCAATGCTGATATTGTTGGATTGAGGCTTCAAATAACACAACATTTGACAGTAAAAGACTTATATTTTACCTCAATTGAAAGCCTAAATAGTCCGGCACACTTCAGAAATATGGTTCAATAAATAGAAAACATTTATTGAAAAAATATCTAAAGACAAGCTGCTTCATAGCCATGATTTTAAATGCAAAAGCAATATTGTCAGATTAGCCCTAGTGTTCAACTGCGTGTGTGTTTGCTCGAGTAGTAGTTCATCTGTTGCTCCAGAAACACATGGATTACCCATACTGCACTGCAAGCAGCCCGTGCTTTAATCGCTTTGTAAGGTTTACTCTGTTTACTTTTCTTCACAGTTTAGTTAGGGTCAAGTTTTTATACCCACAATCCAAAAACAATGTTCAAAAAACAAACTGCCAGCCCCACTTCAAGGTGAACAAGAAATAAAAAAAAACTAAAATGTGCTTCCCTTTTCTTTATAATTATTATTAACCAATTAATTTTAAAGACCAAAAATAAAGGAGGAAATAAATGCTTGACCATTTATCTGGGATAAAGGTTGGTCAGGGAGAACTAAATGCATTTCAGATTGTATTGTCTCTATTAGGACTTCTGTGTTGTGCTTGTTTGTCTGTGACTCTGTGGAGAGCTTGTAGCAGTGACTACACCATATGACATAAAGGCAGTTCACCAAGAAGTCAAGTGTCCTTAGCCAATGGACGACGAGAAGAGCGAATTAGACATTTGTGTGCTCAGCCAATAAGCTGTGTGCCAGTAAGTGTTTGTGCTTTACTCTGGCCTAGTTTAAAAAACACAGCATGTGAGGAAAACCCTTCATTCATCTGTTCTCTTATTGAGACATGGCCAGTATTATTCACACACGCACACACGCACACACGCACGCAAACACACACACACACACACACACACACACACACACACACACACACACACACACACACACACACACACACACACACACACACACACACACACACACACACACACACACACACACACACACACACACACACACACACACACACAGCTCTGCATTTATGTGCTTCTATCTCCAGAAACAGGGTAACAAGGTAGATGGTTGTGGCTGGATGTAAACTAGACAAGCTCCACACTCAGGACGTAGAAATTCACAAAGCAGACTGACTGTACACTCACTGAAGCCGTACAAAAAGATTGGAGGAAAAGTTGTTGTCAAAGGTTGGCAGTTGTGTGGTGGGAAACTCGACCCTGCCGTCTGATCTCAGGAGTTTCCTCCTCCTGTACATTCTCCAGTGAGCATCGAATCCACACACATTTGGTTTCACAAACAGTGTGTAAATAAAAGGCAGGAGGAGGAATTGCTTTTAACAATAATGTATTGATTACTGTAACTTCTTTGTTGGTTTGAGTAGCTTCATAGATTTCATTTCTGTTGTGCCAAAGAGGTTTGTGCTGGCTTAAAGAAAAAGAAGGATTTCACTTGTAGCAACGGAAATCCCGCTTGTCAAATAAATAATAATTGAGTGTGTTAAATACTGTATATGTCGATACTGTATTGGCCCTTTGTTTAAAATATTACCAAGTGCATTCTGTGTGTGTAAAAGAACCTAATCAAGTACAATTCAATTGGTTTTGGTGTAACCTTTTTAGTTTCCTCCTACATTCAGCAAGCCAGTTTAACCCAGTTGTGGGGTGTCTGTAAAGGTCATATTTAAAAAAAAATTAAATGGCGGTATAAATGTATGTGAGATATATAAAAAGAATGAACCACCTATTTCACTTTTTGCTTGTTGCACCTTTTGTTTTGTGACAGATCATCACAGCATGACTAGTTTGGGACAACACAAACATCTATTTCAACATATATATAAAAAAACATAATAATGCTACATGCATCGTTATTAACACATATTGGGTTGGTAAGAAACACATGTGCTTGTTGTCACAAACTAGACAATGATGGTGGACTGTAGGCTCACACTTCCCTCATCACCTGGTGAGAAATCTGCACTTCTCGTAGAAAGCACCGAAGTCAAGTGCTGAGGTCTCAGTGGAAAGAAGAGCTAATGCTTTTTGTGCTAGTGTTTGCTGGTGGGTGATGCTGAGGGGGGGGGGGGGGGGGGGGGGGGGGGGGGGGTCTGTGCTCTCTGAGCCTAGGCCTTCAGTAGTCTTCATCACAGGGCCAAAGACGGGGGGGCCCCTCAATCCAAGTCGAAGCTGGGGCTAGCTTTCCTGTATGTGTGTGTGTGTGTATATTTAGTTGGACCGCAATTAAATTAAATGATTGAAGGCAATTACTATTGATTATTGTTTGTGCCAGTCTTAAAAAGCTATTAGTTGGAACATTGTAGTGTTTCTTATTCTGGAAAAAAACGTGCTGTTTCTTCTCTGATGAAGTTTTCAAATGTTTTACTTATTTAAAAACATTTTTTATTTTTTTTATCTGTGTACATTTAATTTGAATTTAATTTTACTTTGCTATAATCTTATGTTGGTTATTGTTGTTATTGATGGTTATTATTATTAATATTATTATTATTATTATTATTATCAAAAGAAGTCTCTTTTTTGCATTTTGTGTTTTCTTGAAACCAATTTGGGTCCATCCATCCAGTTGTGTATGTATGTAGAAGACTGTGTGTATGTGAGTTTGTGTGTGTGTGTATGTGTGTGTGTGTGGGTGTGTGTGTGTGTTCTCGACTCAGAAACAGGAGCAGTGTCTGTCCGTCCACCTCATCCCGTTCAGAAGCTCTCTACGAAGCTGCTGGGGAACAGGCCGGTCTTCCCTGTCCTCTGCAGGGTTCCTTTGTACCAGCCGTCCTCCCTCTTCTTGTGGACAAACACCACGTCTCCCTCCCGCAGCTCGATCTCTGCCTCACTCTGGGGGGGGGTAGGGGACCACCACACGAAACCTGCCACACACATACACATACACAAACACACAGATAGTTAGAACACACACAACAGCACATCAACAGAGCAGGTAAGAGTGGAGAGTATCAGTATCATAATCAGAAATACTATAACTATCCCAGGAGAAATTGGTTTTCGTAAAAGTTGTTCCATCTTAGAATGAAATAAAATAAAAGAGAAATTAACTAGATGATTTAGAATGTGCAATAAACAGATACAACAGATCATATACATATATTTACACTATTTTAAATGTAAAGAAAAAATGTCCAATAAAAGAGCATGATATTATATAACATAAAGAGATAAGTGGCAGCTTATTGACTGGCCACAGGCAGGAGTGACTTCCTGTGGTGCTCTAAGGACAGCAGTGTGAATTATGGGTAAAAGGAAATATCGACCCTGGGATTCTCTGGGACCCGTCAAAATGTTTAATGGATTCTGGGAATCACACAACCATGTCTTGCTTACTTTATGAGTAATCCCCTGCATTTCCCAGTATACATTTTGTACCTCAGAGAGGAAAAACTGAATTGAAAATGTTAGCAATAGTTTGAGAGATCACTATGATTTTGCTGTGTGTGCCCACCTCTCTCTGGACAGGGGTTTGGGTTCAGGCCGGAGGACCATCAGGGCGTTGATGGCGCGTGTTGCCGGGGGCGACATGGGGAAGTTGGTGTCCAGGGAACCCGACTTCCTGTGCAGAGGCTCCAGCCCAATGGCCCCCGCCATCTCACTCTCGATAGGACAGGAGCCGGCGCGCCCCTGGGCCACCATGGGACAAGAACCTGAGCGGGCGTGGTGGTGGTGGTGGTGGGGGTGGTGCACGGGGTCGTGGCCGGCCAATGAGGGGTCGTGGGTGGGCGGGGAGGAGGGGGGTGAGCGGGATTTCTTCTTGGCTGCCGCCCCCGACAACAGTTTTAATAAACCTCCAGCTTTCCTCTCCTTCTGAGGACAGGCAGCATGGATGGAGATGAACAGGGGTGGCGGGGTGGCGGGGGGGGGGGGCAAACACACAGAGATGATGGTGAGATATCAAATACAGGTTTAATGAGAGAAATACAGGTTTCATAAAGCCTATCTTGAAAAGTGACAGCATAGTAATGAAATCTCTGTGTAAACAATACCTCTACAGAGTGAAGAGAAATATTAGTTTTCTCTACATGAGAAAAAACTCCTTACACATTAATCAAAAAACACATTTATGAAACAAATTGAAACACATTTTCCTGTTAACTCCACCTGACAAAAGGAATCAAACTGGTGATAAAAGTGCCTTTCTTTCATCAGAAGGCAGACAGTAAATAAGGGTGAGCCGCACTAACGGCCCCTACACACGGCAGCGTGCGTTGAAGCTTGCTAACTGTCTTCTTCACGCTGATGCTTACGTTGGAAGGACACTGAGGACATGCACTTTAGATTAAATACATTGAAAGCAATAATTACACATGAATACAACTGTGAAGGTTATTAGAAAAATTGATTTTATCTGTAATATATACTCCAACTGCTTTGCTTGATTGATACATTGACCAATAATGATAGTTTGCTGTGTTTGCAGAGCGTCCATGCAACTTTCTTACAATAAACAGTGTATCAAATCATCCTAAATCTGAATTAATCACGTTTTTATCATGTAGACTTCTCTTGTAGATTATTCATGGTAAATAAGAACAGTGCAAAAGTCCAGATCTGTTGTTTTTTTAACCATACATGGAAATGTGATGTGGGATTTATGAGCAGAACCATTAGATGTAGGTGAAGCATCTCCTCTGAATAAAGAGGCAGCTTGATCTTTACCTCGTTCTGACCTTCACTCAAAGCTCTGAAATAAGGCATTCATTGTTATGGGAGTAGGAATACAACTCAAGAAAGTATGCTTAATAATATAATGGTCTGCAGGCACAATGCATATTTTAAAAGGCTGGTAGCCGAGCAAAGCGGTAAACTAACGATCCTTCACGCTGATCACATGTGCATCTACAGCTATATTGATTATAGGCAGAGTGTTTTTAATGGTACCTTTAAAGGCAGAGTCACGTTTTTCCATTTCTTGTCCCATTCATGTGTGATTCTGAAAAGGCTGTACAACACTCAGATATGTATAAACAGCTTTGTGTCTTTTGCTGCTTGACCTGATTTACAGTCTCAGCCATGACGAGGGGATCAATACTGAGCATGCCTGAGCGTAATTACATTTTTTGAGGGAAAGACGCATGAAGCCTCCATATCGGCTCTGTCAGCCATCTGCTGCTTTTATACATGGGCTGCTGGAACGAGCATCGTTTTTTTTTAGATGTGTTTCCCATCCAACACTGTCCTTTCGATGCAGTGATTGAAAGTTGCCATGGCTACGGGGAGTTGCAAACATGAAAGCTAAAAAGCTAAATGGAACTCACAGAATTAAAAATGTTCGGTTCTTAATTGTCTAAAAATGGAAATAGTAAACAATATATAAACTACTTTAGATTAAGATGATAAAAACAGATAAAACAGCATTAGAGAGGAAGATGGTTCCTTTAAATAAATGCAAAGCAACAGGGAGAGTGGAGGAGAGAACAGAAGGAGAGCGTGTGACCTGTTGACCAGCAAACTACTGCAAGGTAAATATATCACACGAGAGAAAACAAATGAAACGCTCTCCTAACAACAAAGCAATATTAAAGCCCCTTGAGGCAAATGTGTTGTCTTTAAAGAAGAAGATTCAACGTATTGTCATTACGTAGTACAGGTACTATGTAACGAAACGGTTTCTCTGCATTTGACCCATCCTAGTGTTAGGAGCAGTGGGCTGCCATTATGTACGGCGCCCGGGGAGCAGTGTCAGGAACGGTGCCTTGCTCAGGGACACCTCGGTAGCACTTGGTCTTTCCGGGACTTGAACTGGTGACCTTCCAGTTGCCAAGCCAAGTCCCTATGGACTTCGCCACCATAAAGAATTGGCTATATAAACAAAATGGCCTTTACTTGACGAGAGAGCTGTTTAAAAAAAGATATAGGACCCTCTCAGTCCATTGTTCAACTAATACATCCTTTTGATCTTAGTCAACTAAGACTTATTAAGTAAAGAAGTATAATTGTGCTTATTTTCATGCTTTTCTATGCTGAATGGCCAATAGAATATACACTTTTATAGCACATCTCTGGTAAGATATAAAGTGGTGCTTCTGCATGACTCATGGTGGAGACACTTAGTATTTAATATCTGTCTGTTAAACTCATCATATACTCAAAACAACAATTGTATGAGGGTTAATCTACCAATCATTTCTATAGTCGTTTCTCAGTAGCAGTAAGAAACGACACTATGCAGACTTTTCATCATGCCGTGCACCTTGTCAAGGTCTTCAGAAACGTGTTGATGAGTGTGAAGTTGAACACTTCTGACTGTGAAGCTGACGATGGAGCAGACAAAGTCGTCAGTGAAATTCAGAGGGACAAAGGAAATCAAATACTGGAGCTGTGTGTGTGTGTGTGTGTGTGTGTGTGTGAGTGTGTGTGTGGCGCGTGCTGCGGACCACACTGCAGGACTGGCCGCTCAGGAATATTGCATGTAATTGAAACTGAACGGTACATTGAATTGGCTCCACTTTCTTAGATATAATCGTAAAGGGAAGTACCAAAGCGCCTTCCATGAAACAGAGGCAGTAAAATCAGAGGATGCACATGACATGGCCTGAACTTCATAATTCAGTGTGATCCTGTTCTACAAAGTCTGGCACACAGTCTAAAAAATCACAGTTATATACACAGTATGAGGTAATGTCCCTTTCCTCCACATTTTCACAGATTTCCTGTTAGGTTCTGGTGTTTGTTTCAGCTTCCTCCACCTGAACGTGTAAATATTTGTGAACAACATTTTTCTCACATCGTAAGTGCTAACCTTGATCAGAAACTGTTAATGACTTTATTCTCTCCTCTTTACAAGAGGGCATCACAAGCCTTTTCATTTTCTTTGCTCCAGTTTTCATAATTTCTCCAAAATGTATTCATTAAACATGCTGCATGAGAGACTATTCTGACTTCTAATCACATTGCTAAGGCCACTGCTTCGATATAATGAACATTTATATCTATTATTTTTACCCGCCCAGCTGTCATACCAAATTGACAAGCCTTAGCAGATGGCTCAGTAACACATACAGCTCGTCTTTAAACCGCCTGAGCTTCATGACTGCAGTTAAAAGGAGTAGTAAGAAAACATGGAGACGATCTCAGTGATAAACTGTCAGAGATACAGGAAAAAACGACAGAAAGAAAAAAAAGAATATACTTTATCGGCACTGTCCCAATTTGGGAGAAATTAAATATTTCAGATTGGGATTTATTGGGTTTTTGCCATGGATGCATTAATCCATTTATGCTTTTTAATCACTGTTTTTGTGTCATTTTTTATTGTGATTCTGCTGCACTATTTATTCATGCTCTTAAGTTTTTATTTTTGTAAAGCACTTTGAATTGCCTTATGTTGAATGGGTGCTATATGCTTGCCTTGCCTTTTTTATTTTTTGATCAACCACTTTATTGTTCAAAATGTCCATCATAATTTCAAGCTCAAATTAACATTGCAAAATAGCTTGTTTATCAGTCGGACGAAATGTTCAAAAACCTAGAAATACATTATATATAAAAATATATATTTACAATCCAATCGATAACATAGCATAGTTTAGACACTTTAATACAATCATAGACACTCAAAGGTGTCTATGACACTGTGGATAATTGTGGACTAACAAAGGTATTTCATGGCAAAAAAATCAGGGCCAACTTAATAATATAAAGAATTGAAACATTACAGCACAACAGGAGAACTTTAAGGAGTGTTGAGTTCACAGACCTGTCCATCATATTGTAAGTATTACGGCCCAAAGTCAACATCCAACAACCATACTTATGCATCAACACTGAAGAAGTACACTGTTTTCCAAATCACTGGTATAAGTGTCTGATCAAAACCAAATCAATAAAAAGTGTAACGACGACAACTCCTGGCCCTAATGACCAGTCTTACTATGTAAATGTGGCAGCACAGAAAAAGTGCTGACCAAGCAAGCGATGCTGTATAAACACTTTGACTCAGCAGACCGACTGGAACAACAGCACACCTTTAGAGATGTTCTGCATCCCCCTAAACAATAAGACTTGGTTATTTCTCACAAGATTAGGTTTATAAAGCTTTTGTTGAATTACTTTAACATAAATCAAATCTTGCTCACTGCCTACAGTATGCATATGAAATGTTCCACCTCTTTGGCAACATAGACTTCTTTCCTGTCATGCAATAAAGCGCCTTTTAATTTTAATTTGGGAAAGGGAGAACAAAATGGAGAGAAAATAAAGATTAAGAGAAGGGGAGAACATTGTGTGTCAGAGAAGGAGAAAGCAATGAAAGAGGAGGGACTCTGAGAGGGGGGGAAAGGTGGAGAGGACAGAGGAAAGGGTGTAGAAACAGGAAGATAGCAGGGAGGACAGAGGGGTGTAAAAGGAGAGAGGAAAGGAAGGAGGTGGGACTGACAACAGCGGAAAAAGTGAGTAAATACTCCCTCTCCCCTTTCATCTGCAGGCTTAAAGGCTTAATCAGCTGCCTGTGAGTGTGTGTGTGCTCCCCTGTGTGTGTGTGTGTGTGTGTGTGTGTGTGTGTGTGTGTGTGTGCGTGCAAGCAAGACAAACTGCTGCTACTGTTGTTCTTAAGTCAACCACCAGGTGGCAGCATACACTCACAATTTCATTCCTGTGCATTTGAAGTGTAATTCAGTACAAGGCCTTGCACTGCAGCACATTGGCAGGATGCTGAAACAGGGAAGCTCTTTTTGTTTCCATTTTGCTGTTCCTTTTATAAACCTGTTTGTACAAAATGTGTACTTATGCTTGTAAATGTGAATCTCTTCCCAACTAGAAACCTCCAAGACACTTACATTAGAAAGAAGAAGACATACTTTATTAAT